GGCAAAATCCTGACTGCACTGAGGCTGGGCTGGAAAATCCAGACAAAGACAGAGCCTTTAGGGCAGGGGGAAAAGGGAGATAAAGGAAGCAGCAGGCATGAGGCAGGCAAGGCAGTGTGTCCCTGGGTGCCACCACTGGGGGATGGGCTGCTGTGTGCTAGGCAGATAGTGTTTCAGCTCATTCCATCTTCACAACAAGAAAATTTCCACTTTATAGACAAGAAAACTGAGTCCCGAGAGGGAAAACAACATGTCAAAGGTCACATGAGCCAGGCAACCTGTACTGGGCCCAGGTCTGCCTTTACTGCCTCAGTCTTTCCACTGTTGGGTAAATACCTTGAAACTTCATTTCCAGGGGAGTTAGGGAAAGATGGCTCCTGATACAAGTTATTTCAGATTAATTTTATTCACATAGGATTCATGATGGGCTGCGACTAAAATACATTCAACAAGATGTTATGCTATAGAAATGGAAAATTAGGATCAGAGAAAATAGAATGGAAATATAGACAAAGAAAAAGCTGAATTAAAACCAGGAAAGTGAATATCTGATTTTGGGTATGATCATACTGGCAGCCAAGGAAAAAAGGGATGCAAGCTGATTCCCATTATAAAAAGTAAAGAAGCAGTTTACTCCTTCAAGGATTGGTGGTAAATTTTATTTTATTTTTTTGTTTTGTTTTGTTTTTGTTTTTGGTACCGGGGATCGAACTCGGGTCCTTGCGCTTGCACAGCAGGCAGCAAATCCACTGAGCTAAATCCCCAGCCCTAGTGGTAAATTTAAAAGAAATGAGTCAAGGAGTGAGAGGTCCCACGAATGCGTATCGGATGCTGTGGAAGGACTTCACAGATCCCAGCCAGTCACCTGCAGTAGGAGCAGGAGCTGATAGGCCCTTGGCCACCAGGACAGCAGCCTGCAGAGGTGCAGCTTGGGAACAGCTCGGAGGGTGTGGCTGCTGAGAATGACACTCATAGGGCTGGTCTATATTGGCTCTGACAAGCTCCAAAATTCCTTGAAGATTTCCCCACCTTCAGCAACCCAACCACAAGGTGCTACCAAGCCACACAGCCTTTGTTGTCAGAAACACACAAGAGTTTAAGATTTCTCCTTTTCATTCACCCCAGCCTCAATTTCGGCAGGGTGAGGTTTCCAGAGCTGGCATACGCCCTCATCTGCTTTCTATCACTTTCCCTGTGCTGGCACTAGGGACTGCAGACAGCACTCTGCAGCGAGCTATGGTTTCTGCTTCTTCATTCTTGGTCACAGCCAAGCCTTTCTCAAGAGCACCAGGCCCAGATTCAACCCAGATTTCCTCCAAGGCGGAGGCTGCCACAAAGCGCTGCTTCTCCTTTCCCAAAGCTTGCTGTCCCGGTATGACTCCACAACCCCAAATGAGGCAATCAGGGACAACAAGCATGGCCACCCAGCACCTTGGCTTTCCCAAGGCACCTGGTTCTGAGATCCCTGCCTGAGAAGTAGCTGCCTTCTACAAAGACCTTGGGATCTGAGTCCAGGACCCGGGTTCGAGGCCCAGCTGTGTGACCTGGGCTCTGACAGCAGTGTGGTGAAGTCAGTACTGGGGGGTTTGGAGGCAGGCTGGGAGAGTCACATCCTGGCTCTCCCTCTGCAGCAAGGAACAGGAGGGGCACATCCTGCCTCCACCCACTCCTCAGTCACCTATTCCTAAAGAGGACTCTGCCAAAGTGAGGTGAGGCACTGTGAAGGAAGGAGGGACACATCTTGTCAGGTGGCACACAGTAGGTGTCAGGTCTGTCCTGCCCCCTTCCCTGCCCCTCCATCCCTGTCAAATGGAAATACCTGCTGAGACCTAGCCTAAGTGGGTATGGGGATCCTGTGTGTGGAGGGCCCTGGGCAAGGCTGCTGTTTTGTTGTGACATCACTCACCCACTGGGACCCTGGTGCTCCCCACCTGTGGCCCAGCTGAGCCTTTCCTGTGCCTGGCACAGCCTCAGGCAGGCACTTCAAGAAGGCACCCTCATCTGTGGGTTGAGAAACGGCTCTCCCTCTCACTGAGTCCCATCATTGGGAGGTATGTGTGCTTCCTGCATCCTCCAGCCTCAGACAGCTGCAGTGGGTGGACATGGGTGGGAGGCAGCTGTCCTCAGCCCCGGCCTGGGCTCCCAGCCTCCACCTCTGCTCAGACATCTGGAGGACCCGCTCTGCCCTCCTGTCTGGAGTGCTGTGTGCAGCATGGGTGGAGGGCTGGGTGGCTGAGGCACTGGGGACAGCAGGGGAGTGAACCTGAGTCTGGGGAGGGCACCTGGCGGCTCTTCCCAGAAGGGGCGATCTCTGAAGCGAGATGGAAAGAGGAGGAGCCGTTACCACACAGGCAAGTCACTTCCTTGAGCCCCAGTTTTATTTTCTATAAAAAGGGCCAATAACACCTGCTTCTGAGGACTGGCTAAGAAGCTAAGACCAAGGGATGGGTGCAGGGGGACTGAGGACACCTCACACCACCTCAGCGCCCAGGAGAGATGCATTTCAAGGGCCTTCTCCTCTGGTGACTGACACCTGATTCTGTAACCAAGTGTCCTGGTTTAGAAAGATCCCAACTGGAACCCAGAAAGAATGAAACAGCTTCAGAGTCCTTTCTTGGGGAGGGTGGATAATGGAACCTCCTCCACCCAGCAAGGCAGATTCTTCCCCAATCCAGCACTCTCTCTCTCTCTCTCTCTCTCTCTCTCTCTCACACACACACACACACACACACACACACACACACACACACACTATTCATTTAACAACTGTTTTTTTGAGAACCTATTCATTCTGTGGGAAGGATGGGGACTCTATTGGACAGGCAGTCAAGGTCCCCACCCTGGTAAAGCTTGCAATTATGGGGAAGGAGGAGGGAGGTAGACCATAAAGACATTCAATAAAAACTAACCAACTGCAATAAATACCATAAAGGAAAACAGACAGGCTGCTGTCATGGAGAATTTAGGGGGGCTACTTAGGGTGACTGGGACATTTGAGGAGGTGGCATTTAAGCTGAGACCTGAAGCAGGTGCCGGCCTAGAAGAAGCAGAAATGAGACAAGAATGTCCCAAATAGGAGGAGCAGCTACAAAGGTCTTAGGGGAAGGGGGAACTTGGGGCATCTGAAGAACTGAGTAAAAGCCAAAGAAGACATGTGGGGCCTGGGGGAGAGAGTGGGGAGCAGCCTGAGATGAGAGGAGTGGGCAGAGCCCGTGGGGCCCTGGCGATGGGACAGGATGTTATTCCAGGAACAGCCTGGGGGTGGCAAGATGGGAATTTGGTTTCTAAAGACTCACTCTGGCTGCAGAGTGATCTGTAGGAAGGCAGGTATGACAGTGCAAGAGGGTCTGGAGCCAACACTGAGGAGCCTCGCTGACCCTGAGACCTTGACCTCACCTGACCAGGTACGATTGTGAGAATCAAGTTGGGGATGATCAGAAGGGCACTTTGGGAAGCTCAAAAATAGTTATGCAAGGGTTTCAAGTTGTACTAGAAGTACTCTTTGGGAAGCTGCTGGGTAAGGCCTTTCTGGGTTTGGGGTAAAAGGGAGAGTAATGGAGCTGAGTCCCTACCTGAACACCTGACCCCCGAGGGACCCTACTCTTTCACCAAGGGTCACAGGAGAGGCCTTGGGGTTGGGCTGGCTTAAAACTGTCTAGTCCTAAGAGGGAAGGTGGGAGCCAAGGGTCACTGATGTGGTTTGTTTTTTCAATATGTTCTTAACTTTTAATTGACACATAATAAACTTACTCATTCTTTTGTTATTTATTTACTTATTTATTTAGCATTACCAGGCCTTGAACCCAGGCCTTCAGATTGTACTACATCCTCATCCCTTCTTACTTTCTTTTGAGACAGGGCCTTGCCAACTTGCCCAGGCAGGACTAGAACTTTCGATCCTCCTGCTTCAGCCTCCGGAGTAGCTGGGATTACCCACCTGTGCTACCTCACCCCTCAGGCTTACTGGTTTCTGACCTACCCCCAAAGCAGCAGAGTTTTCTTTTTTTTGTTTTTTGTTTTGTGGTGCTGGGGGTGACTTACACCCCCACCTCAGCCCAAACCAATGATTCTGTGTTGGCCTGAGGGCCACAACCTTTGAGGGACTAGCAAGCCCTGGATAACTCTTTAGTCATTCAAATGCACACAGCAGTGTTCTTGCTATGTCAAGAGAGTTCCCTGAAATTTTTGGATATTCATTTATAAACTCGCATAAAAACCCTTGAGCAAGAGGAACAGAAAGGGGGGGGCACTTGTCTTTTTTATTCTTCTGCCCATAGCCTTTGGAGACACCCCCCACCCCAACTCACCTAAGGGCTGAGGGTGGACAAACCTCTCCATTGCTAGGTTTGCTGACTTGACTTGGTATCTGCTACTGGGGACCCCACTATTGAAGTCGGACATAAGGTTTCTCAAGAGGGGTCTCTGTGAAAGCCCTTTCCTGCCTCCTGGGGTGAGCTGGGAGCCCGTCTCCCGGCTTCTGGGGTAGAAAGGGGCTCTCTGGGGCCGGGGATTTAGCTCAGTGGTTTCGCCGCCTGCTGCCCTAGCACAAGGACCCGAGTTCGATCCCCGGTACCAAAAAAAAGAAAGGGGCTCTCCATCTCCCCAGGACTCTCTTGGCCTTGTGGATTCTTCCCGGGAGGGAACTCAAGCCGCACACCGATCAGGCCCCGCCCGCGAAGGTGGTGCGTCGCACCCAGCCCGCCCCGGCCAGCCCGCGCGCGGCGATAACGGCGGCGGCAGCCGGGACCGCACGTCCTAGGGCGCAGCATGCGGGGCGTGTGTCCGCCGCGCCCGGTGGCCGCCGTGCTGTCGGCGCTGGGGGTGAGGCTGGCGTCGCGGCGGGAGGGCGGGGAGGGGCGGCCGCGGCATCCGTGGGGCCGGTCTCGGTCTCGAGTGTCCCGGCCGGGGCGGAGCGCGGCGGCGGCGCCGGGCAGCTTCCCCATTCGGGCGCGCGAGCCATGGAGGCGCTCAGAGAGTCCGTGTTGCATTTGGCCTTGCAGATGTCGACCTACAAGCGGGCCACGCTGGACGAGGAGGACCTGGTGGATTCGCTCTCCGAGGGCGACGTGTACCCCAACGGCCTGCAGGTAGGCGCCCCCGCCCGCCTGCTCTGGTCCGGCCCAGCCGCGGGCATGCGCGCCGGCGCCGCCCCGCCCCCATCCTGCCTGCCGGAGGTGGGGGGCCCGCGCCCCTCAGCCGCGCCCCCTGTGGAGGATCCCTAACTCAGCGGCAGTGCCCTTGAGGCTCGAGGCTCCCCCACCCCAACCTGGACAGCCCTGCACATCCCCCAAAGCCACCGGGCCACCTGTTTCAGGACTATGGCCCAGGCCGCAGAGTTGAAGCACCTTGCAGACCTGCGCTGGTCCTTTTTACAGAAGGGGCCTTTTTACAGAAGAAGCTGTCCCGGGTGTCTAGGGCCACACAACCCACTGCTGGCAGGGCCTGAAACTGTCCCACCTTAGCATGGAAAGCCCTGCACACCATGACCGTTCACTCAGCCCTGGACACCTGGGAGAGTTGGTCACCTTGTCTGGCAGGCGTTATTCCCATCTCTCCCAACTCCTGAATTTACTCGAGTGGGACCAGCTTCTGCTTGTCACCTCCTGTCCCCTTTCAGCCCATCCAAGAAGCCCAGTTCCTTCCCTCCAGCACCACACTGAGAGACTCAACACGGGGATGGACCACCTCTCCCTTGCTGCCCTCCATAACCAGGCTGATCTCTGTCCCCTCTCTGCAAGGCTGCCCTAGGACACTTGTGCCCAGGCACTCAGCGCTGCTGGGGTTTGGCCTGGGACAGGCGGGTGCGAACGAATTGGAAATGTGGAGAAACCCAGGGTAGGGGTGGGGGTCCGTGATCTGGGAATCACCATAGAGAGAGGAGCAGGGACACCTCAGTTCTGGAGAATTTGTGCCACATGGACCAAGAGAGGTGTTCAGAGTCTTGGTGAACTGACATCTAATTCCAGCTCATCTCTGGGCCAAGTTTAGGAAGAGTGGAAACTCGGGCTGCTGGCCCCAACCCTAAATAGGCACACCTCTTAAAACTGGAATTATACTAGTAATCAACTAGGGAACCAGCATGGAGAGAGCTCCTTCTCCAGGCTAGTTAAATAGGCACAGGAGTTCCGAACTCATGACCCAAAGGGCTTTATACACTAGGAGATGGCATTCCTATCTCCATCATCCCACTCCACCTTTAGGACCACTGCCCAGGGCTGTGGGGCTATCTCCCCACTTACAAGGAAACTGAGGCTGGAGGAGAGGAGACAGCTTGCCTAAGGTCAGTCACAGAGCTAGAAATCTGGGAGCGACAAACCCCATCTGTCTAGACTCTTGCCTGTGGACTTTTCTTAAGAGACTAAATCCAGCAGGAAATTATTTTTCTGTGGCCAGCACTTTTCCTTCACAAATCAAAACAGAATATAATCAGCAATCTTTTTCAGTCTCATCTTCCACAGAAGGTTCTAAATATATTAGCACAAAAACATCTCCGAATTCACAGCAAAATAATGTGCCTTATTGTCGTAGCAGCAGCCCACTTGAATTTATAGATAGGACATCTGTCCATGTGAGACCCTCCCAGCAGAGGACAAGGTAGGAGGCACCAGGGGCCCAGTTTGAAGCCAGGGACCCAGTTTGAATGTGACTGCACTCATGACCTTGGGCAAACTGCTAAATCTCTCCCAGTCAATAATTCCCTCATCTGTAAGATAGGTTAGGGAAGGTGGATAGGAGTCATACTCTGGGGCCTGCTGGGATCACCATTGTTTTTCTTACCTAAGAGGTAAGGGCTGGGGTGCTCCTGATGAATGAAGCTGGGGCACAGAGGAAAGTTAGGGACATTCCTGTGGTCACACATCATTGTTGTGTGTGTTCAAGTTCAGTGCTGGTGTCCCCAGGCCAAGCTGCCCTATTGAGTGTATTTTTTGCTTTCCATCAAGAAAAAGCAAAAAGGTTGCCCAAGGAGCCGGGGATGTAGCTCAGTGGTATGTGCCTGCCACACAAAGTCCTGAGTTCAATCCCTGGTACTGAAAAAAAAAAAAGATTGCCCAAGGATTTGAGGCATTTCTGTGGGTACTGGGCTTGCTTGGAGCCTGCTAGCCTTCCCCGGAGCAAAGGCCACAGGCCGGTGCTTGCTATGCTGAGAATCAGGATCCAGCTTCCTCAGTTATGAGGCATTTTTCTGTTTATTTTATATTTTCAGTCGTTGGTTTTTTTATATATAAAAGCTTTATAATGTTCATTTGTGGAAGAAAAAAAAAGACAAGTATTTTTTTTAAAAGTGGCTGGACAGGGCCTGGGGATTTAGCTCAGTGGTTCTGGTGCCTGGCTTGCAAGCGCAAGGTCCCGAATTCGATCTCCAGTACCAAAAAAAAATAAAAGTGGCTGAACACAGTGGCACATTTCTATAACCCCAGCATTCTGGGAAACTGAGCCAGGATTACAAGTTTGAGCCCAGCCCTGGCATCTTAACAATTTAGCAAGATCCTGTCTCAAAATTTAAAATACAAAAAAGGACTAGGAATATAGCTCAGGTTGAAGGCCTATGGGTTCAATTCCTACTACCAAAAAAAAGAAGAAAAAAACAAGGAAGGAAGGGAGAGAAAGAGAGAGTAATCCCACCACTTAGAGATAATAGGTTCTAGTTTCTTTTGTGTGTGTGTGTGTGTGTGTGTGTGTGTGTGTGTGTGCGCTGCGTGCATATATATATATTATTTTTTTGTACTGGAGATCAAACCTAGGGCCTTATGTACCTTGTGTACAATGCTAAGTTAAGTTCTCTACCATTGAGCTATACCTCCAGCCACATATATATATAAAATTTTTAATATAATTAAGTTCACTCTAAATGCAGTATTATAACCTGCATTTTTCATCTAATGCTACTCTATAAGATTTTCTATGTTGTTAAAAATTTCTGAAATGTAACACTTTGTGCCAACATTATATGTAAAAAAAATTATTCAATCCAGTATACTTGGGCAGCTTAGGCCCAATTGCTATCACACTATGGATTACCATATTTTAGCCTTTTAGATTATTTCCTAAAGGCTGGTGGCTAGAAACACAACTGCACCCTCAAGTTTAGACTTTTTAGGATAGACACTGGACCCTAAATCTTCTTTTCTTGATTTGGCAGTTATACAAAGAAGCTATTTGATGTTTCAAGTTTTTGGAGGGTGTTTGTTTGTTTGTTTTGGGAGATAGGGTCTTGCTATGTAGCCCAGGCTGGCCCTGAACTTTTGGCAATCTTCTGCCTCGGCCTCCTGAGTGCTGGGATCACAGGCGTGTACCACCACACCAGGCATGAGTTTTCAAAATTTTTGAAGCCCACTGGCTCTAAGAAATCCAACGTTATCAGCACTGAGATGTAATAAATGGAAAGTTCCATCTCTCAGCCAAACCTGGCGTTTTTACTACTGGATGTGTTGATAGATGTTGAATTTAGCTGGAGTAAAGTACTACCTATACCATATCTCTAAGAGTTTTTCTTTTCCTTTGTCCCATTTTAGGCACAAGTGACTTGCAGTCCATAAAATGAGTCATTTTGGACCAAGGACAGAATTTAAAGTCACATGGCCATAACTTGGCGCCCTAGTTCTGTCTCTCATGGGCTGTGATACCTGAAAGCAGCTCACAGCTCTCTTTATAAAGTGGGTTACTGTCATTAATTCATCTCTCAGAGCTGCTTCAGAGATTCAGATGAGACGGTATAGTGCTCAGAAAATGGATTTGGTTGTGAGCAGAATCATTATGCAAACTCACAGTGTGTAATAGCTGTGATTCCTGTGTGGAATAGCTCTCCCTGTTTAAAGCCTCTGCTCTGCCAAAGCCAGTGCCTGCTCCCCACCACACACACCTGAGCATAGCTCCTCAGTGGCTTGAAGGGAAATAGCCAAGGTCACACCTGCCCCAAGCTGGGGAGCAGACAGCCCAGACCTTTGAGACTCATCTGGTTTCTTTGCAAAGTCTGTGTTTGTTTTAAGAAAAAAGAAAGCTGAGATATTTAAGTGCTTAGTAGTCTCCCCCTCCCCACCCCCCTTGCACAGGGCTGTCTTTGGAGACTGATTTCAGAGACAGGCCCACTTGATACTTGCCAGGTCTTTTCCACTGTGTCCACCAGTTACAGTATTATGGTCACACCTGGGACTTCGTCCTGGCTTCTTTATTTTATTTTACTTTTTTCATTTATTTATTTTTATTTTTATTTTTATTTTTGGTACTGAGGATTGAACTTGGAACCTCGCGCTTCCAAGGCAGGCGGTGGAACCACTGAGCTAAATCCCTGGCCCTGGCTTCTTTATTTCAGAGAGGAGAGACTGAGGCCCAGAGGCTGCCCAGGCACACACAGTGGAGTCGCAGCTGGCCTTTGACCTCTAGGGTTTTTTATTTTCTCCCATGAGCCATAGGGAGCTAGGTGTCCCGCTGAAGCAAAGAAACACTTACCCTAAATACCAGACTCTGATTCCACTTGAGATTCGATTCCTTTTACTTCCTATCACCTATGATGGGGAATGCTTGAAGCTGTTACCAGTCTTGTGAGGAAGGTTAGGCATGGGGGCAGGTGGTGGGTAAGGCCTCAGGCAGGGAGAGGGAACAAGAGGAGCTCATGGTTTTGCTCTGGGCTGAACTCAGTGGCCTCTGCCAGAATCCACCTCATGGAAACTTTACTGGAAGAAACTTCCCCAAGCTGACACCGTCACAGAGCTCCCACTAGGCTGAGCTGTCACGGTCTGCCTCCTCCAAAAGGCTAAACCTGAGACGGGTGGCCTGGTCCCCCTCTTCCCCTTCATGGCACTGGGCTTCTTGCCACAGGGGTGGGCTCCCCACCAAGCCCTTGGCAGAGGACTCCTGCCTGCTGCTCCATGCAGCCCCGGGTTACTGGGAGACCTGGTGGCAGCTCGGAATGAGCCTCTGCCTTCCCCTCCAGCCCAACCCTGCAAACCAGGCTTAGCCGGGTTCCTCACTCCTGCCACTGCCAGCTTGGCTCCTGGGCCCCAGGCGGGTGCCCGGTCCTCACCTGCAGAACTTGTTCTTGCTTTAAGCCTTGGTAAGCCAAGCACTCGCTTCTGTAACTGAATCTTTATCCCTCCTTAGGGCTTTGTTCCCTTGGCTGTGGAAACCCTGGGAACTCCTGGGCCAGGCAGCTTGACTCTCTCTCTGTGTCTGTGTCTGTGTGTCTGTCTGTGTATGTCTCGCTCTCTCCCTGGTTCTTCAGCTCTAGCTCCTTCTATCTTAATCTCCCCCTCCACCGCTGTCTTTGGAGGGCACCCCTTTCTCTCTGTCTCTCGTGATGAGTAGAACACTAAGACCACCAGCAGCCTTTGTCCACAGTGACTCTCAGCTCCATCTTCCAGGCATCAGCCCTGCTCCTTGGCCAATAGTCATGTCCCACTTAGCTCCCCCAAGATGGATGGCCTGCTCACTGCTGATCCTCCTGACCTCCCAGGGGCCGCAGCGGGTGTCCCGTGATCGACATGCCCTTGTTTCCTAAAGGAAAGAGAGAAACCACTCACATCGCCCCTTGCTGTGACCTCATCTCATGGGATCCTTTCCTGGTCCCATGAAGGGGAGAGCAGAGGGCTCTGAGAAAAGGGATATGCCTGAGACCAGACGGCTGAGACTGCAGGGAGCCAAGCAGTGTTTGACCCAGGCCCAGCCCCATCCATGGCACACGGAAGTGACTATCCTCTCCTAGAGCAGCTCCTTACCCAAACCCAGCACCCCCGGGTGACTTCTGCCCCCCTCCCCCCAAGAGCTGCCTCTGCGTTCTCTCCACCCTTAGAAACCGTGCTTGTCCAAAAACCAGGAGGCCCTTGGCCCGGCAGTGCAAATTGAGCAAAGAACATGGGAAAGGTTAAAAATCCTGTTTTCAAATCCCATTTGCCATTCTTGCCTGGAACTATGAATTGTTAATTCAATTCTGGCTTAATTCTAATTTAATTTGCAGCAAACGCCATCTGTTTAGATTCAACACTTTGCTTGACATGGAACAATGTGGCTCAGCTCAACTGCTCCTCTGGGGAGTGCCTAGTTGGGAGGAGGCTGTCGGCTCTCGGGCTGTCTCCCCTTTTCTGCCCCTTTTCTCCCCCCACACACTTCCTGTGTCTCTTCTGGACCCAGCCCTCCTCTTAGAGATGTGGTAAAGATAGAATTACAACATCTAGCAACAAAACAGTGCTCCTGCACAGAGTGAGCACTCCAGATACTTATTAGCTGTCATTAGTACTTTCTCTTTCCCTCCCTCCCTCCCCCTTCATTTGCCTTATGTTAGAATCTACTCTGTCTCCCTTTCACCTCCTTGGGTACCTTTGCTCCTGGCTTTTCTCCTTATTCCCTCACCGCAGCATCTCCGAGGTTTTCCTACTTTTCCTGACCGTTGGTCCTCCAACTCCCTGAAGCTAGGGCCAGGCAGAGGGGCCTCTGAAATCGCTGCCTCTGTGCACCCCACGAGCTGAGCCATGATCGTGGAGCACAAGAGGCCATGGCAGAGAGGAGCAAGGCTGAGACATGTCAGGGGCAGGACAGCCAGCCAGAGGAACACAAATGTGAGTGTCCCCGGGCGAGCCAGCATCTGCCTCATGTCCTTGGTGCCCCTCTGACTGGTGGGACCCCAGATACACTGAGATTGTTGATGTCTGAAAAAGCACTCTGTCAACCTTTGAGTGTTGAGTATGTGTGATGAGTGAGCAGCATGCTCACAAATCTTCACTTCTCTCATTTTTATAAGACTCTTTTTTTTTTTTTTTGGTACCAGGGATCGAACTCAGGACCTTGCACTTTCGAGGCAGGCAGCGGAACCACTGAGCTAAATCTCCGGTCCTTAAAAAAGATTCTTAATGGACTTTATTATCAGGTGGCCCTCCTCCCTCTACCTGACCCACTGCTGGACTTCCAGGAAATGTCACCAATTCTCAAGTTCTGTTTCTCAGTTTTAGAACCCAATTTTTCTTCCACAGAAAGTGCTTGTGTTCCCCTTTGGTGCAGCAATTCCCATCATTTCCTGCCCAGAGCCCGTACTTATTAGCTGTCATTAGTACTTTCTCTTTCCCAGTGCTAGTCATGGTGACTCTCCCTAAGGTGACCATCTCAGATCCCTGAGTGCCAGTATGGGGTCTGCTGGAGACTCTGACCTGGCTCTGGGGGGAGCCCCTCCTCAGCTTGGGGTCTTTTCAGGTCAGAGTCTGGGTCCCCTCAGGTCCCCTGGCATGCTGTGACAGCCACTTTAGGAGTCTCCCTGCTTCTGTCCCGCTCCCTACCAACCCTTGCTCCTCTCCTTGCCCTTCCCAAAGGAAAAAACTAATCATCTCCTCCCAATCCTCAGGTGGAAGTCCTAGCTTACAGCACCCCTTGGATTCCAGGCCTTGTGCCCTTCGCCAGCTCCTGTGTATTCTTTTTTTTTTTTTTTTTTGTACCAGGGATCGAACTCGGGACCTTGCTCTTGTGAGGCTGGCACCAGAACCACTGAGCTAAATCCCCTGGCCCTCCTGTGTATTCTTAAAGACCCAGCCCAGACTTCACCTCCTCCAGAAAGCCTTCCCAGATTGACCCCCACCCTGCGCCTCCCTGCTGTTTTCATTATCTTCCTCCCTGCTGGGCTGTGAACTGTTGAAAGCAAAGGAGTCCATCCTCCTCTCAGTACTTCCATGGGGCCCTGAGTTGTGCCCAGCTGTTTGTACAGGCAGGCAGTGTCACCAAACCAAGCCATCTTCAGAAGACCCTTCCTATCCTGTGGCCCTGGCTATTATTGCAGGAAGCACTTCTTGGAACAGAGGGGAACCCCGAAGTGACTTTGGGTGTGAGGGGCCTGTGTCGTTGGCACTCCTCAAGCCCGGAGGGCCACCACACCCTCCGTTTCCTCTCATTGTTCCTCCTTTCCTGTTTAGCTAAACTGAGAGGCTGGCAACGTTTTCCCTGCCTTTGAGAACCTGCCCAAATGGAGCTATTTCTCCTGTATCTCCCCCAACATCTCCTAAGACCCACATCTCCGACCCAGCAATGTGCTCTAGAATTTCCAGACTCTGGTCTAAATCCCAGCTCTGCCCACTTAGCTGTGTGAGGAGCAGCAAGGGTCTCACCCCTCTGCACCTCAGTTTTCTCATTTGTAAAAAGAGAATGAAGAATGCATCTTGCCTGGGACTGTAAGGGCTTAGTGAGCTAGGGATGTCCCTGCCTCTGGGCAGCGTGAGCCTTGGTCCCCAGCCCTGTGGATGTGGGGGCTCTGGGGAGAGCCCAGCTGGACCCTGCTGGATGCCTCAAGTCCAAACATCCTGTGCTTTTTTGAACTGGAGAAACAAGGAAAAGCTGCCGTTTTTTTCCTCTACCGGTATCGGGTAACACAGAAAACACAAGCCCGGCTGGGTTGAGCTGCTGCTCTGATGGCTGGAAGCAAATCTCAGCTGCCGAACAGGGTGGTGGCTCCTTCCCTGGATTAGGGCTAATTCCGTAGGAACTGGACCTCCCCTGAGACAGGAGGGCAGCCCCGATGCCTCCCCAGGGCCTGGGCCTGCACCAGAGCCCCTTCCTCCTGGGGAGGGGGTGCCCTGGGCTCACGTCTCCCCCGCCTCTCCTGCCTCCCTCCCTGCAGGTGAACTTCCGAAGCCCCCGGAGCAGCCAGAGGTGCTGGGCCACACGGACCCAGGTGGAGAAGCGGCTGATAGTTCTGGTGGCACTTCTGGCAGCAGGACTGGTGGCCTGCCTGACAGCCCTGGGGATCCAGTACCAGACAAGTAGGTGTCTCCGCGTTCCATGGTGGGCTTGGTCTCCTGCCCTGCACTCTGTCCATGTGCACAGAGGGCTTCTCTGCTAGGCCTCGGGGGCTACTTCAAGGTCTAGCCTCCAAGGGCTAGAGGATCAGCATCCTGAGCTAGACTGAGCCCTGAGGGGTGCAGGCATATGAAGATTTGGGGGTGAGAAGGACATGAGTCCACATCCTGACTTGGTAACCTATAGGCAGTGTGCCACCTAATTTCCTAGAGCCTATGTCTTCTCTACTTTAAATGGGGAAACAAGTGCCTAGTTTAGGGATAACTCTGGGGATGTCTTGGTGCCTGGAATAGCTCTGGGCACTGTTGTCAGGGTGTGGGCCGGTTAGATGCAGGCTGCCACAGTCTGCCATCCTTAGCCCCAGTGGAATAGCAATGATGGCTCTAGCTTATGAACAGTTTCCAAGGACCACATGCTACCTCTCCTTTACAGATGCACCCTCATTTCCTCCTCACAGCAGCCTTGTGAGGTGTGCTTCCTCTTGGTCCTCTTCCATATGAGGAAACTGAGGCACTGAGGCTGAGTGACTTGTCTAAGAGTACATGGGTGGGAGGTTGGAGTAGGGCAGCTGAAGTTTGGCCACGGGCTGTGGGGCTGGGTGAGGGTGCCTCACTTCCCTTTGTAATCATGGTGCACGAATATTAATACCCCAGAGAAGCTGTCTGTGACCCAGCACCTTGTATCTCTGTGTCTATCCCACCTTGTATGGCAACAGGATGGGCCCCTCTCTCATCCTGCTGCCAGGAGTCTGACTCTGGTTCTGTGGGTCCAGCCCAGTAGATCTGGCCAAGCACCTCACTGAACACTTAATGGTTATAGAACTAGAAATGGTGGGTCCAAGTTAAAATCCTACAAGGGAGTTCAGCCAATCCCAGAGGCTTTCACTCTCCTGTGGCCCAGCATCCAGAATTCCGATGGTCCCTCTGATTGGGCAGCCAGAGGGGACTTTGCTCAGGGTCCCCCACAAACTTAGTCACTCACCCTATCAGAGAGATTGTGGCTGTGTTTGCCTTCCCCACAGCAAAGGTGCTGGCCTATGAGGTGGGTATGCTGGGCTGGGTTGGGGAATGGCCTTGGGGATCTGGAGAGAGGGCAGGGACTTCAGCTGGGTCTTCCCTCCTGTATGGGGCACATAGTCACTCATTCTACAAACATTTAATGAGTGCTGGCTTGCTGTCAGACACTGGGCTAAATACCTACTTGGTACTTAAGAAATAATCGCTTGATTATTTAACTATGTAATGCTTTGTGGGTGGTTTACCAGATGTGTCTGGCCCAGCAGGTGCTTAATGCATATCTGATTAAAGAAGTACTAGTTTCCAGGCCTTTAGCCACATGTACTTAGCACAGTGCCTGCACACCATAGGTGTCCAAATAGTAAGTTGAGTGAATGATTATTAAGAAGGGGGATTGAGCTGGGAACAGCCTTTCTGTACTGAAAGTGTATATGTCTGTGACTGTGCAAGTGTGTGTTGGTGTATGTTGTGTGTGCATGTGCCAACTCTGCCAGCAGGGCACAAGCTGATCATCCTCATACTGCAGCTGCCTTCCTGCCACATCCTAAATCAGCTTCTGTTTAGAGCATCCCACTTGTGCATGCGGACCCTGGCTAGCACCATCTGCCGAGCTCTTGGCCCAAGACATGAAAGGCAGGCTGGACCCCAACAGCCATTGTTGCCCTGGGACTGCCCCTAGGAGCTCCCAGGATATTTCTTCACTAGGAACCAGAAAGGAGCCCCCAGGGGACAGCTCCTTGTGATCAGACCCAAAACTTGTCTGCTGATATTGCCAAGTGGGGCCCATGAAGTGCACCTGCTTCTGCCTCTATTCCAGCCTTCAGGACCTCAGAGGGGTTTTCTCCAGCCTGGACCTGGGAGAGCTATGTCCCTCTTTCCATGTAGTAGAACTGGGCTGAGGGCAGGTAACCCCTGGGCCACCAGAGAAAGCAGTGGCCACCTCGGTTATTGAGAGTAACCTCATTACACAGCAACAGTGCTGACATTGGCCACACATTGGCCAACGTCAGGCCAGTCAAAGCAAAGCCTCCGATAATTCTGGAAGCCCCACCTCTGAGTGGTGTCTGGACATTTAAGCACATCTTTTTGGGGGGGTGGGGACCGAGGATTGAACTGGGGACCTTGTGCTTGTGAAGCAGGCGGTGGCACCACTGAGTTAAATCCCCAGCCCATTTAAGCACATCTTGATCTATCTTCCTGCTGCAACCTGCTTTCCAGAACCTTGAAGCCGCTTTGTAAATAGTAGCAGCAAAACAAACAAATTCTCCCAGGAAATATTTTGAAGCATCTTAGGTGCAAGTGCGTTGAGGTGAGGCACTGTCCAGATGAGCAAGTTAGATCTGGGACTGGCACCTGCTTCCCAACTGATTGTGCACTGCCTCAAAGGAAGAACTACTTCCTGCCCCTGCAGGTGGTGGCCAAGTGCTGGACAAAGCAGAGTAGGTGTTTAATGAAGGACTCAGACCTCTGAGACCAACTTCTGTACACTGATTCCTCATTTTGTTTTTAAACTCAAGTCCACCTTACATTACAGTCCGTCTGCTGGGTATTTCCATCAGCCAAGATTTTGTCAAGCTTGACTTCCTGTGGTTTGGTATATAAAAACAATAGGTATTCTTTCCCTTTCCCAGACATGAAGTTGTATCATAATAGTGAATAAGCTTTTTTTCAAACTGTGGAGAAATTCACCTCCCCTCCCCCCATGAAGATTCCAGCCACCCCCATGTTGGGGACTAGCATGGTGACTGATGGAGATGATCTGATCTAGAAATATTGAAAACAGCAGTGACACTGCCACCATCGAAAGGATTCTCCATGTTCACATTGCAGTAGCTCAATAATGTTTAACTGTTGCGTAATTAAAGTCACCCTGAATTTCCTGCTCTTGTGAGGTTTCCAAGCCCTTTATCCACTGAAGGACTGTGTGTGCATTAATGGCTGTTGGTAAGACCACGTGTGCACCGCTCCCGACCACCCACCCCAGTGGCAGTGTGTGGTGTGTGTCTGACTGAGGTGAGGCTGACCCAGGCCACGTTTCTTGCTCTTTAAAGCTTAGCCTGGGACCCTCTGACCCTGAGCCCCAAAGAAACTGATCCCTGTGCCCAGCCTTGAAATCATTCCATCATCACTGTGAAATTGATTCTCCTGTTCCAGTTTCTACATAGAGAAAATGAGGCTTGGAGAGGTGAGCACTTGCAGAAGGCCTCGCAGGCAGAAATAGAAAGCTGAGATTTGAACCCAGGTCTAACAGTCTCCAAGCCACCCACCTCGTGTGGTAAAGAAACTGATCTTGCCTGTCTGGCTGCACCAGCCCTTGGCATGGTGGGCAGAGAGGTGGAGAGGGAGCAAGAAAATGCAGTCTTGGAGTTGCTACATCAGGACAGGCCTGAGCTCAGCTCTCGGCTCTCCCACGTAGTGGGGTGCCATGTTCCAGTTCCTCTGTATGAGCTTCAGTTTCCTCGTCTTACACAGGGATATCACACCTGCATCTGATGAGTGTGTGTGAAACGCCTGGTGCAGGGCCATTCAGGACATGGTCCCTGCTGCCACCCAAACACCTATGTCACCTGGTTCTTCAGCTCTGCAGAGTCAGGTTCATCTTGCTGCCTCTGCTGGGCCCTGGGGAACTGCCACAGTTGTTCAAGTCTTTTGCTAGAGGCCCCCCAACCTTGTTTGTGCCTCTGGCCAACTAGTCTTTTCAGTTTAGTTCTTGTCATTTAGTTTGTCTTAGGCTCATTTAGTTTGGGAGCTTTTTTTTGGAGGATTTGTTGAGATAACGGACTCTCCTGCCTTATGCTCAGAATGTTTTTCTTGGCTCCCTTCCCCATTCCTACCAGTCTCCCCTTCCTCCAGTGCCCTGGCACCATGATGGCGGTGTCACCACTTGACACATAGTCAATACTCAGTTTATTTGTAGAATGAATGAGAGTTTCTCCTATGGTTATCTTTTGATTTTTTTTATATAATGTATTTATCCCTAACTAGATTATTAGCTCTTAAAGGAAAGGACTTTACCTTTTATATCCCCCATGCTGTGCAATCTCTCTCTCTCTCTCTCTCTCTCTCACACACACACACACATACACACACACACACACGCGCGCGCGCGTGTGCGCGCTCGCTACTCAGTGAAGAAGACACTCAGAATTTTATTTCATGGGATAGAAGGATTCATGAATGTGTGAATATGTTTGTTGAGCATCAAGGAACAATAAGTCAGTAAGTCTTTATGGAGAGACGGATTAAGAGAAAAACACATCACCCCAGTTCCAGGTTCTTTGAAGTCACAGAAGGCATTTTAGACAGCTAAACAGCAGTCTTATTTTACAAGCCAGGAGATCATAAATATATTGAAATCATTTCTCCTTAGAGATCTAGTGACCGTTCCAAGCCTATCCAGTCAGGACTAGGTTGGGGTCTATGTCCCCTGGGCCCCAGGCCACCTGCACTGTCCTCCCACAGCCTCTTCACTGGCTTTTGTCCTCCACCCCTCCAGGGACACCCCCAGTGTGCCTGAGTGAGGCCTGTGTGTCAGTGACCAGCTCCATCTTGAGCTCCATGGACCCCACGGTGGACCCATGCCAGGACTTCTTCAGCTATGCCTGTGGGGGCTGGATCAAGGCCAACCCTGTGCCCGATGGCCACTCACGCTGGGGGACCTTCAGCAACCTCTGGGAACACAACCAAGCCATCATCAAGCACCTACTTGGTAAGCACCAAGAGGGTGACCAGGGACTGGGCCAGCGAGGGGTGCTGTTTCCTGGACCTGCTGGCCAAGCCTGGTCAGAAGAGGGGGAGGCAGGATGCCATGACTGGAGGCTTTGGAGCAGGTGAAGTGGGTTAGAGTGTCTGCCTGTCACTCACTGTGGGATCCTGCTGAGAAGGTACTTATCTCTGAGCCTCAGTCTTTCCATCTGTGAGGCAGGATAAACAATACCCAGACTGCAGAGTTTGAAGCGCTGGAAAGCACACATTTAAAATGATGGCACAGTGTGGCACATGACAGGTGCACAAGAGCTGGTGGCTGTGGTCTTTTTTTTTTTTTTTTTTATGGCTGCAAGCTGCAGGTTGACTAGCACTGACTGAGTTTTGAAAGTTGTGAGTGAAAGGAATCAAAGCCAGACACACAGGATCAGATTTTAAGGTTGTGGTCCAGTGAAAGTTGCAGCAGCTGTTTATCAGAGAGTGAGTTATTCCATGTGGATGGGAGTCATCTGCGGCCTCCTGATAATCAGGCCTGCAGGATAAGCCAGCTGGCCAAAGTCCATTCCACCTGGGTGTTGGCTTTCTCCTAAGGTTAGAATCCCTCGTGTGTCTCACTTGCAGCCATTTTCCTGGTTAATATTTGTTGAGTTTCCATCCGCCCAGTGGAGTCGTCCTCCAGCAGGGAATCACAGGACCACAGAGGTCCCAGCTTTCTCCATAGCCTTAGCAGTGTCCTCGCACTTGTCTCCCTGGGGATCGGAGCAGGTGGTGGGTGGAGGTGGGATCGAAGGATCCCTGCCCCTCAAAACCGCCAGAGCCCCAGCTTGAGGTGGCTCCCCGCCTGCCTGACGCTGCCAAGGTGCCTTTGAGAGAGGACACAAGTTTTCATTCCAGAACTAGGAGCATAAATGACATAAATGTTGGTCCCTGCAGAACTGGAACTCAGGACCCTCCCTTCCCCAGTACCTTAAGACAGAGCCAGGGGCTTGGCAGGAGCCCAGCCAAGCAGAGGTATGGTCCTTAAAGTCTAATAAGATGGGCTTGCCCCTCTGCTGCAGTCACCAGGACCTGGGTTCCATGCTTACTCCACCACTTGCTGTGAGACCTTGAGTTAGTTACATAACTTCTCTGGGCTTGTTTTCCCATCAGCACAGTGGGAACTACGTCTCCTCCAAATGTGAAAATTAAATGGGGAAATCTATTTAAAGTGTTCTTCTGGTGTGTTGAACAGACTGTGGTGGTTGCTGTTTGTATTGATGTTATTCTTATTCACCTGTGACCTTTGCACACTTTACAGTTTACAGAGCTCTCCTGTAACATCATCCTGTTTGACGCTGTAGGGTGAGAGCATTGTTCACTTCATCTGCTACATGCTGGGCATTGTGCTGGACCCTTCATCTACTGCAAAGCTTAGGAATCACCATTCCCATTTTATAGTTGAAGAAACTGAGGCCCAGAGATGTTAAGTAACTTTGCCAAGTACGTACCATCAGTCCAGAGTGAACAGGGGCTCATGCTCTGGGGTCAGCACAGAGAGAATGGGGAAGAAAGGTGGACCAGCATCTAACTTCCCAGTTAGACCCAGAACCAGGCCCATGCATTGTAGCTGTGGATCCTAATCCTGCTACTTCTGCAGCCGGTTCTTATCAGGAGGACCTCGGGTCTGTGCTACAGTTCAGTCCCTCCCACCCTGAACCCCATAGATGTTGACTTTTGTGTGATGGTTCAGAGCACCCAGCACAAAGCCTGGCTCCTGGTAAGAGCTCAGCAAAGCATAGCTGTACTTCTGGGTGGTATTAAGTGGGTTCCAGCCAGACTTCTCCTAATGAGCTGTGTGACTAGAGCAGTCACTCAGCCTCTCTGGGCCTCAGCTTTTCACCTGTAAAGTGGGATCCAACTCAGATCACTTGTGAGGGTGCTTAAGGATTGATTGAGTGGTCAATGTAAAGAGCAATTATTGCTGGTTTTATTTCTCATAGAAGCACTGATGTGGACTGAGTTCTCAGGGAAGGTGGTACAGGGTGTATCTATGACAGGTCTAGAGTCTATTTGTATTGTTTTATCTAATTCTCATGGTGCACCCTTTGAAGCCTTTGTATATACCCATTTTATAGATAAAACTCACAAAGACAAAAGAAATGTATTTCCCGGGAAATGGTGGAGCTGAGATTCAGACCGGAGTGGTGGGGCCTGGGGCCTGCATTCTTTCTCTCCTGGCTCTCCCTAATTGCTTCACCATCAAAGACCCCGAGTGACATTGCTGAGAGGCCAGCTTGGGGGCCCCTTCCCAGGGGCTGCTTGGCTGAGCTCTCTGTGTCAGGCCTGATGAAATCCATAGCTGTCACACTGACCAGGGGTCTCCCCAGAAGACACATCCTGGAGTCCCCTCCCCCCAGATTCACTCCCGAGAATCTGTCTAGAAATGACCCCTCACCTGTGGGCCTCATCTCCGGCCGGCTGCAGGTGAGTAGGTGACAAGGTACAGCTGCAGCCCGTGCATTCTCCCATCCAAGTACTAACCAGGCCCGACCCAGCTTAGCTTCCGAGATCAGACGAGATCGGGTGCGTTCAGGGTGGTATGGCCATAGACTAGCCTGTGCATTCTTAGGCTGAAAGTCAGGCTGGTTTCAGCTTCCCCAAGACAAAGGGGTCAGCCAGCGGGCCTGAGAAGGAGGCAGCAGATACACACTGGAGCAGGAGGGAGCCCGGGCTCCTTCTTTTAAGTGGAGAGAGGAAGAGGGACATTCAGAGTGCCAGTGAGAATTGTGTCTGCTGGCCAGGCAGGACATCTGTCACCATCCACTTGGCATGTGACCTTGGACAAACCACACATTTCTTTGATGGGGGAATTCACCCAGGCTCCCTCAGAGGAAATCCAGACAGATCTGGAGCAAGTGGGCTGAAATAGACCAGGGGTCACGGTGGCTCATCCTTGCAGCCTGCTGGCTGGAGGCGGGTGACCTCAGCTATGTGGAACACAGGCACCTTCCCTGATTGGCCTGTGTAGGCTGTCCTCATAGGCTTTGGGGAGACAGGAGTGTAACCGCACGTCATCGGGGAAGCAGCCAGGTGCATCAGCCCTTAGACTTGGCCTGGCCTCCGGCTTTCCAGTTGCACTTAGCCCAGATTATCCCACATCTAGAGTGCCTGCCCAGGCCCTACTCCAGCCCTGCAAGAACTTCCTTGAACCTACTTTCTCTGTTCTGTCTTCTGTGGTCACCAAAGGGCCTCCTGGGCTCAAGCTCCACTGTGCCATGTGTGCCCAATGTTACTTTCCTACGTCTTGTGCTATAAAATGAATGCATGCCAGGGCTGAGGATTTAGCTCTGTGGCACCACACCTGCCTCGAAAGTGTAAGGTCATGAGTTGGATCCCTGGTACCAAAAAAAAAAAAATGCATACCAAAAAGTGTAATGCATGCTTGTCATAACAATCGAAGCAACACAGATTCCATCAGAAAAAGGTCGCTGTTTCCCTTCCTTCTATCCTGGACACCAGTCTCCCTGAGAAATACACACACAATATTGCAGTAGCATGAAGTGTGTCCACATTGATGATTTGGCAATGTGTCATCTCTTGGAGTTTTATTTTGATGTGTTTTCCCAATATTTATCATCTGGTAAAGTTTCTTCTTCCTGCCCTCTAGGGATAGGATCTGCTCCTTAAATGCTTCTGTCTGGTGTCCTGTCTGCGGCAGTGGGCATGCCTTTCATTTTGGGAAAAGCTAGATGGGTCCACTGATTCTAGGTGGGAAGAGAGTGTCCAAGGCTTCTTGGGGCAGCTGGACTATCCCAGCCCTGCCTTTGGTTTCCAAGCGAATCTGCCAGAAGGACCAGGAAAGCAGAAAGACTTGGCCTCCAGTCCTGGCCTCAGCCACTTACTCATGTGACCTTGGACGAGCTATCCAGCTTCTTGCCTATCAATTGGGCAGGATCCTAATAGCTACTGTGGGAATTGTTCTGACAAGATGCTGCCCACACATAGCCACACCCAGAGGAACCAGCCACTTTCTCAGGGAGGCTTAAGCACGCCTGGGCTCAGATCCCAGCATGCACTTGTTAGCTCTTCCTCCAAGGTGGGTTCCTTCACCTCCCTGGGCCTCATTTTTCTTCTCTCTGGAATGGGCTGATAAGTGTGCCATATCTGCCTTGGATCTCCATATGAGGCAAGACTGAAGCATAGGACTTGGCCTATAGGAGGCACCGAAAGCCGAGATGGTGGCATCTTTATTTTTTCTTCTCCTGAAGAACAAAGCGCCTCCTTTCTCAGCTCCCTCTTTTCTCCTCACAGGATGGGGCTCCTGAAGCCTGCAGGTATCTGAACTGAGTCTGTGGTTTTATCTAAAACAAACATGGGTCCTACCGTGACATGGAGTTGGGGCCAGACAGTCCTACTACAGTAAGGGAGCCCACAGAATTCCTGCTCCCACTGTCCCTGCAGCCCACCTCAGCCTGCCCAGGCATGTGTTTCCTCCCGGAGGAGGGATATTAGAAAAGTGTTCCAGTAAAAACTCCCAGAGGAAGAAATAGCCGATTAAATGGTATGCTGTCTTCTCTCTCTGGGACTTTGGGAAGTGACTGAGGAAGTTTCTGGAACTCCAGTGTCCCTGGAAGGAAGTACACAGGCAGTTAGGAGCACAGTTATCTGGCCCCCAGCTGTCAGATCATTTCTATACCACCCTGGACGTGTGCCCACCTCCAAAATGTGCCCCCCAAACAGGGCAGGGTTCCCCTGGGTGTCGAAGAGATCTTCCAGTGTCAGAAACTGAACTTCAGACTGGAACTGTCCTCGCTTCTTCTTCCTAGACCCACCCCGCCTGCCTCAGGCCTCCATGGCTCTTAGCTCCACCTAGAAACCAGGAAAGGGGGAACCGCTCTCCACAGAGCCTTCTCAATCTGTCCCAAACACTTCCTGCCCCTTCTCAGCCACCACCCCTGCCCCAGCCTTCACCCACCTGGTCTGTCCCAGTAGCCTCCCTTCCTGTGACCTGGCTTGCTTTGGCTCTCATCTCCCTGGATCCTGCAAGGTCATAGGTACCCCGAGTGAAGAGGGAGAGGAGACTGGAGAGTGTGCTGTGGGTTGTCCCCAGGGGCTGCGGGAACCACAGGAAGGAAGAGGAGCTCTGCCTGCTGCCAGGGCTGCTGTCCCGGCCAATGTCACCAGTGGGGTGCTGGCGAGATGCTCCTGGAGGGGCATGAATGCCAGCACTCAGCCAGGCCCAAATCTTGCCTGTCCCTCCCTCGTTTCCTCTCCATGCAAATCTCAGAGGACACCACCTTATTGCCCTCTCACACGATGTCCTGCCTCATCAAACCTGGACACTGCTCTCTCAGCCCATATTGCTGAGGGCCTACTATGTGCCATCCAGGACACAGGAGTGCCTAAAACACAGGATGTGAGGTGAGGCAGCCCAAGTCCAGCCCCAACTCCATCTCACATTGACCTCGCCCCTCAATCCGGGCTTCCTGGGGCAGAGCTCCCCATGTCCTCTCTCCTGGCTTCCTCACTTTCTCTTCAGCCAGCCTAGTGTGTGCCTGGGTGATCCACTGTCCCTCTCACCACCAGGCTGCAAGCCTCATGCAGGCCTGCGTGGCCCCCACACCCAGTCTGGCTGCTGCCAAACACTAAGAACTTAGTAAGCAGCAGTGGGAAAGCTACCAAGCATGACACCAGGCTGTGGGGAGAACTTTCGACTTGGTGGGGACAGCCTTGCAATGGACAGAAAGAGGCTGCATTTGAAGGAGGGTCTCCCTCCAGGTACCAGACGAGGCCAGGGGGCCTCTAGGCACAACTCAGAATTCGCCATGGTTAGCACAGCCAGGCTGGGCCTCAGAAGCCTTTCTCTGCGCCTCTTAACTAAGTGGCCTTGGGGCCTGGGGGAGGGAGATGCCAGGCCCTCCCTTGAGCCAGTGCACAGAGTGCCTCCCCATACGCTGGCCCTGGCATTTCAGGGTCATGCCCAGAGCCACATGTGGACAGTGAGATGCAACTTCCGGGGCCTGGCCAGCAATGGTGGTTCTCCGGCTCTCCCTTCTAAGAGCCCAGCTGCTGTGTTCCCATAGAAATGAGGCCCTTGGAGTGGGAACTCCCCCTTATATCCCCAGGTTCTGTTCCCTGAGTCTGAGGGGCCAGCTCTCCCTGTATCTGGTCTCACTCTGCAGAGGACCTGGGGGACACCTGATAGCCTGTGGTCATTCAGACCCTCAACCTCAGGGCGGGGTCCCTGCCTCTGGATCTCTCCTCACATCTGCCCCGTCCTGGGCTGTCTCTGGCTTCAGAGACACTGGGCTTGATGTGCTCTGACCAGGGCCACCATGGTGCTATTTATGCATAAGAACCATGGGATGGGGAGCTCTCTGGGGTGAAGACTGGGAAATCTGGTAAACACTAGATAGGAAGTGACTCGTGTCCTTGGCACCAAGTGGCAACAACAAAATGTTTCTTTTCTTCAAACGGCATGGCCTTTTACGCCCCCTTCCTTGGCCCCTTTCTGTCTTGCTCCCCCAAGCAGTACCCTCATTCCTACCTGGTGAACACCTTTTCATCTCTGAGTCACAGCTCAAACAGAACACTCTCCGGAGGCTCCCAACCTCTTCCCACTCCTGTACGGAAGCAGAGTGACTTTTCTCTATGTTGGAAGCCCTTGCATTGTCCAAAGCACTTTTGTGTCCTGTGAACTTTCCTTTGCATATCTGTGTCCACTCTTGGACTCTGAGCTCTTGAGGGCAGGGAGCAAGTTTTATTTTTGTCTGTAAAACTCAGTACCCAGCCTGGTGCCAGGCACTCAGCAGGAGTCCAGAGTGCTGAGCACCTTCTGAAACAAACATTTTAGGAGAGGCTTTATGTCACCGAAAAGGCCTAGAAGCCAAGCCAGATTTTTACAGGGTTGAATGCAGGAGCCTTATGGGAACAGGGACGCTGTCCTTCATGCAGATCCTCCAGACCTTGCAGCCTGCCTGGCACAGAGTAAGTGTCTGGGATCTGTCCAGTGGATGAATGGATGAGAAAGGAATCTGAACTGAAGAAAAGTGCTAGGAGGAGTGAGGAGTTCCCCAGGGAGGGGCTGGGAAATCTGGTGTGGTCTGAGACAGGCACAGGAGCCCCAGCACATAGTAGGTGCTTTGAGGACCACAGCAGCAGGAAATAGTTGCCTTCTCCTGGTGGAGATGGGAACTTGCCGTGCTGGGCACATACAGGAGCACAGCCTACAGCAGGTGGCATCTGGACCAGGTGCTGAAGAGAGGAGGGAGAGGAGGTGTCCTGGTCATCATGGAAGGTCTGAAAAGGACATCAGGATGAGAAACCGCTAGCCTGGCTGGGGTTGGGAGGAGGAGGGAGTGGAAAACGGCCCTTTGCATCATCTGTAAGGCTGGCTACCATGCCTGGCCCCTGCAAGGAGGAAATGGAAAGTCCATTCATAATGAATGAAGCCTTTTAAGCTTCGTCCAACTCCAGACTTTCTCACAAGAAAGGTCAGCTGGGCTCTGAAAACCAAGGCAGGCCTCCATCCCACGCACCACGCAGGGGACTGGGTGCCACATGTTGGCCAGCAGGGAGCAGACCGTCCTGCTGGGTGGGCACAGGGGGCTGCTGCCTACAGTCCCGAACAGCAGGAAGAAAGAAGCCTGGGCCCCTCTTTGGATGGGCAGTCAGCTAGGATTTGGGAGGCTTTCAGATCACCAGCCCTGCCCAGGGACATTTTACTCCCTAGGACTGAGCTTGTCCCTCCGTGACAGCAGCTGCCATGGCTTCTGTTTTATAGCTGGGGCACCAAAGTTCAAGGAATAGCCTAGGGCCCCCCAGAATCACCAACTCTGATTTGTGTGTATGTTTTACTGGGAATTGAACTTAGGACCTTATACATGCTAGGCAAGCACTCTACCATTCAGCTATGCCCCAGCCCTTTTTGTTTTGAGACCAGGTGTCACTAAGTTGTTCAGGCTGGCCTCAGACTTGTGATCTTTTTGCCTCAGACTCTGGACTAGCTGGGATTACAGCTATGCACCACCATGTCCAGCAGAGTTTTCAGAAATAGCTCTATTTGCCTATGGCTTTTTCTGTTTTCTTTTTTTTTGCAATGCTAGGGATTGAACCCAGGGCCTCTCACATGCTTGGCAAGTGCTCTACCACTGAGCTATATCCTCCTTTCCCTTATCATTCTAGAAAATTCCACAGCCAGCGTGAGCGAGGCAGAGAGGAAGGCCCAAGTATACTACCGAGCGTGTATGAATGAAACCAGGATCGAGGAGCTCAGGGCCAAGCCCCTGATGGAGCTGATTGAGAAGGTGGGTCCCTGGGGCAAACTTGGCAGCTCCTCCTACCCGGTCCCTCTGGCTCTGCCCCAGCTCACAGGCACCACTGGGGTTCAGCCACCCCATACCTCCAGCCACCACGCCCAACAGAACGAGAAGCCTGTCTGCCGTGCGTGTTGGGCTGCTCCGGCGAGTGTGCATCTGGGTGGGTGACGCTGTCTGTGTGTGTCTGTGGAGCTGGGTGTCGGCATCTGGTGGGGATGTCTGACATCGTGTTTGTCTCTCGGTGCTTCTGTGTCGGGCACAGGGACCATATTTCCGGGAATACTTCCTCTCCAATGCTATTGCCTTGTCTGCACACTGAAGGGCATGTTCATATGTGTGGAGAGGTATGTGTTGCTCCAGAAAGCCCAACAGAGTCTTAGTCCAAGTTACAGTGAAGAGGGCCCTCGAGGCCTCCCCTCATGCATGGGCAGCAGGAAGACTCCTTCTCATGGGCACATCCCTGTCAGGCCTGAGCCGGCCTGAGGAGGGCTGCCTGAGGCTGGCCAGGCTGCTTGGTTGGGCAGAGGTGGCTGTGTGAGTTTGCTGGGTGCCCTGTGCTCCCTCGAGGGCCATGCCTCCTAGCTTGTCTGCAGGAAGGTCCTGCGGCAGAATTGGTGGCCACAGGCACTGGGACTGTCTCAGTCCTTCCTGTCTGGTACAGGCTGCTTGTGCCCGTGTGTGCCAAGCCAAGGAGGATTAAAGAGGTTACACACAAAAAAGCCCCAACTTTTAGAAGGACTAAAGATGACCATAGTTGAACCTTTTTCAAAATATGGAGCCTTTTCCCCCCATAGGCACAGTTGAATTTGTGTCTGAATAATAATTACATTCACATGATTCAGTTTTCAAAAAGTAAATAGTATAAGGGGCAAAGTCTCTTCCCAGCCCCATCCCAGCCACCCCAAGAGCAATGCCACAGATTCATGGCCTCCATCCGTGAGGCTGTAGGTCGGGTTAGAAACCCGGTGAAGACCATCTCTGTCACTTACCCAGGACACTCCGAGAAGCTGGACGGCTGCTCCAGGGTCACACCTCCAGGTGGCTGCAGAGCCTGAATTTGCATACAGGTCTCCCAGCCTCCTCATCCCCTCCCTGCTTATTGTCCCTCCCCATAGCTCGGAGGCTGGAACATCACAGGTCCCTGGGCCAAGGACAACTTCCAGGACACCTTGCAGGTGGTCACTGCCCACTACCGCACCTCACCCTTCTTCTCCGTCTATGTCAGTGCCGACTCCAAGAACTCCAATAGCAACGTGATCCAGGTGAGGGGCCTGAACCCAGAGAGGACAGGGCATGACCTCTTTCTTCTCAGGTTCATTGAGCACCAGCTGGGGTGATGGTGTTGAGCACAGCACAGGCTCTGATCTCAGCCTGGCTTCCAGCAGCCCCCGGCCTTGAGGTTTTTGCAGGCAAAAGACAGAGCTGAGGCTGCTGTGCTGTCAGTGGCCTGCTGCAGGTCCCAGGAGTGATGCAAGACATCATTTCCCTGACACAGCGAAAGCCACCTCTGCTCCCCACTTCAGCCTTTGGCCTTTGTGGCTCTGTGGGCCAGGGATTTAGCTCAGTGGTTCCACTGCCTGCCTTGCAGGTGCAAGGCCCCGAATTCGATCCCTGGTACCAAAAAAAACACAAAACATAGAATAGTACTGAAGCTGGGTGAAGTGGTGCACACCTATAATCCCAGCAGTCAGGGAAGCTGAGGCAGGAGAATGGCAAATTCAAGCCCAGCCTGGGCAATTTAGCAACTTTTGTGAGATCCTGACTAAAAATAAAAGGTAAAAAAAGGGTTGAGGTTGTAGCGCAGTGCAAAGGCCACAGTACCCCCACCACCACCACACAAAAGGTGTTGAATCCGTGCCTCCCTGGCAGAGCCTACCCCAGCCTGAGGATCAGCACAGAGAGGGGAGCTCCTAAACTGCAGTCAGAAAGGCTGAGTTCCCAGTCCATCTTTGTCAGTCACTTGCTATGTGTCGTTAGGCAAGTAGCTCAACTTCTCTGAACTACAATTTCCTTATCATACAAATGATCCGTAAGAGCACTAAGATATTTCAAGGTGAGGCCAAAAGGCTCCAACAATAGCTATCAGGAATTAACCCTCCCTCACCTGCCCAGCATTCCAGGGGCCCTTTCCCAGCACTGTCTCCTTGAATCCTCAGTTTGGCTCTGAAGGTTAGATATTATTTCACTTATTTTCTGGATGAGGAATCTGTGGATCAGAAAGGTTAAGTAACTTGACCACAGTCATACAGCTTGTGGTGGCTCCTAACCACTTGGGCAGTGTTTGGCAAAATAGGTGTGCTTTGCCAAGGCCAGGAGGTGCTCAAAAGGGAAGGGGCCCTTAGAAGGGCCCAGCCTCCCTGTAGCCGACCTTGTTTACAAGCAGGAATACATCTGTCCCTTCCCTGGCTGGCCCATCAGTGACTTTAACTACCAGCTTATTCTGCTGGCATCTGAGCTGATCTTCTGGTGCCATGTGCCAGTGCCCCCCAGGCAGGCAGAGGGGACTCAGTGGGCACCCGCATGGGAACATCCAGGGGACTCCCCCTCACTCACTTGGGCCTTCCTCCCCAGGTGGACCAGTCTGGCCTGGGCTTACCCTCCAGAGACTATTACCTGAACAAAACTGAAAACGAGAAGGTGAGTGTGCTCTGAGAGGGGTAGCTTGGGCCCCAGCCAGCCTGCTGTGGTCTCCCCGGGTGTCCACCGCAGCACGCCGCAGGGAGCACTGAAGTCCCTTCCTGATGAGTGACAGGCAGTCCTGGGCAGGGGAGGCTGCCGCAAGCTGGCTGGGTCACATCCGGGTATCACGGGCACAAGGGGGAAGGGATAGGTGGGCTAGAGCAAGGCCACGGTGACAGACAGCCACCACCATTTGGAGGTACTAGACTTTTGTGTACAACACCTCAAGTCCCCCAATAACGCTGTAGCTACTGACCGTCTCTGGACTTCATTCCCCCATCTGTCATAAGGGTACTACTTTTACCTTGACTTTCACAGAGGAGTAAGTAAGGCTCAGAGATGCTGGGTGACCTGTTCAAGGTCACACAGCCAGGAAGTGATGAGACTGGCATCCTCATCCAGACTCATGCCCTCCCCTCCGCCTGGCCTGCCCCTTGTGACACCCCAAAAGCCTCTGCCCAAGCCTCGCTCACCTGTCCACTCTACTCCAGCCCCTTGTACTGAGCAAGTCCCCACTGAGTGCCTGGTGCTTGGCAGGCAGTGGCAAGAAGACCAGCCTGGTCCCTGCCCCTGGGGCTTGAGGTCCGCTAGGGAAGAAGGACACTGCTTAGCTGGCCACCGCTAGAAACACAACCACCACTGTGAGCAGGGAGGGGGTAGCAGGGTCACCAGGGAAGGTCTGAGGGCATGGTCTGAGAGCAGTTTAGCAAAGGTACATCCCAAGGACAGAAAGACGCCCAGGATGAGCACTGAATGGTGGGGCCCGGGTGGCAGTGACCAGCCTACCTGGGGACCTGAAGGAATGCAGAGGTGTTTCGGCTTTATCCTCAAGGTCATGGGCAACCAGCAAGGAGACGTAGCCCCAGAACCATTGTCAGGGCTGGCGATGTGGCTCAGTGGTAGAGCACTTGGCCCTGGGTCGCATCCCCAGCACCTTACCACAAACATCTCGAAGCTGTGTTCCAGCAGGTTCCCTGGGTGAAGTGCAGCCCCTGGCCTAGTGGGCAGCAAGTGGCAGCCACAGACCATCTCAGGGTGCTGGGTCCCACAGGTGCTGACCGGATACCTGAACTACATGGTGCAGCTGGGGAAGCTGCTGGGCGGGGGGGACGAGGACGCCATCCGGCCTCAAATGCAGCAGATCCTGGACTTTGAGACAGCGCTGGCCAACATCACCATCCCCCAGGAGAAGCGCCGGGATGAGGAGCTCATCTACCACAAAGTGACTGCTGCCGAGCTGCAGGTACCTTGAGCCCTGCTGCTGCAGAGGCTGGGCCAGCTGCAGGGCTTCAGACAGGCCCCGAGCTGGGGGTTTGTGCCCACTTGTCAGATCCGTGAAACCATCTGTGAAGGAGGGGTTGTTGTGCCCTTGTCACAGATGGCACACTGAGTCTCAGAGAGGTCGGGTTACCTGCTGGAGTCAATACTAGCCAGTCTCCTGCCCTACACCAGGCTGCTCTCTGACGACATTTGCCTGGAGACTGCATGGTCATGACAGTGATCGCTCAAACGGGCAGCACCTGGTCACCGTAAGAACTAAATAAATGTGAGTTGTGGGCTGTCCTCGCCTCTGCCTTTTCTGAGGCAGGAGGCTAAGTGACATGGTCAGGGTGCAGGTACTACCGAGTGGCGAAGGAGCTTCCTTAGAACGCAGGCTTGGCTTACCAAAGCTCAGCTCTTAACCTGTGCCCTGGGGCAGCCGGGAGGTGTAACTGAGAGGCAGATGTGCGCTTTCTGTAACAGTGGACAAGCAAGGCTGCCCCCTGGTGGTTCCTTGGGCCTTGAGGATCCGGAGGTGACTGCCTGGGGTTTCTTGTTCCCTGTGTATCTCATGCCACTGTCCAGCCCTGGGGCTTTTGGAGCCATCAGCAGGGTGGTCTCTGCTGGCACCCCTTTTCGGTCATCAAGGAGAATGCTTGGCTAGGGAAGGAAGGACGCCCCTCCTGGGCTGTGGCTCTGCTGACTGTCTTCTTGCCTCTCTCCCTTCTGCCCTGCCCAGGAAGAGCACCAGATCCTACCCTTTTCTCCTCCTCCATTTGACAGATGTCAGAGCCAGAGGCTGAATTGGGCCAGGCTAGTAAGGGAAAGTAGGAAATAATCTCAGTCTCCTGCAAGTGCTTTGGGCAAAAGCAGCAGGGCCCTGGGGCCAGAAGAGGTGAAAGCTAGAGAAGGTAATGACAGGTGTGTGTCAGCTGATGGTGTCCCAGGAGGAGATGCAGTGCCCAGAGGCCTAGAATGAGCCAAGCAAGCCTGGCTTCCTGCTGGTGCCAGCTGCCCTGTAGGTCCCCAGAGAACCAGGGTGCCAGGGCCAAGGGGGTTGTTATGGAGATCTGTACCCACTATCAGGTACCATCTGGCACTGTTTTTCTGCCCTGAGGCCAGGAGGTTGAGGGAGATGCTATTTGTGCAGTGTAATTTAGTTTGCTGCAGCTGCGTGGATCTCAGCCTGAGAGATCTCATCATGCCTTCCCAGTGGCTGTCATGCTGACGTTCATGCCCAGAGGGGTGGAGGTGGCACAGTAATGCAGAGCACAGAGCCCCCTGAGGCCACCAGGTTCTGTCCCCGGCACCCTCTCCTCATTCCTTCTGCACTCCACCTCCAGGAAGGAGGTGTCCCCTTCTACCTCTCTGTCCCCTTCTGTCTCTCTCCACAGGCCAGGGGAGGACTGAGCAGGGACAGCAGCCTGCAGGGTGCCAGCCTGGGTCCAGCGTCAGAAGACTGCCCTGGCCCCTTGTCCATCTCTCTGTGTGACCTTGGGCAAATCATGTAATTCACCCCTTTGAGCCGTGGCCACCTTCCTGGTAAAATTGGCCTTTGCTCATTCATTCACACCTGCTATGTGTCAGAACACAGAGACAGTGAGACCTAGCTACCCTCCCAAGGGACAGTGGTTCTTCACTATGTCACAGGGTCTTTTGAGAACAACTGGAAAACTCTGGAATGTCACCCAGGGAAAATAGACCTATGTGAATTTAGAAAGATATATGTCTAACAAGTAAAGAAGTCTTGGCTCCCTGAAGCCTGGCATAAGAATCTCTGCCCAGCCAGGCCTGGTGGTGCATGCCTGTAATCCTAGCAGTCTGGGAGGCTGAGGCAGAGGGATTGCAAGTTTGAGCCCAGCCTGGGAAACTTAGTGACTTCCTGAGACTTGGTCTCAAAATTTAAAAAAAAAAAAAAAAAAAAGGAATTTTTTTGACCTTTTTTTTTGGTATCGGGGATTGAACTCAGGACCTTGCACTTTCGAGGCAGGTGGTGGTACCACTGAGCTAAATCCCCAGCCCAAAAGAATTTTTTAAGGGCTTGGAATGTAGCTCAGTGCACAGGCCTTGGGATTATTGTCAGTACCACCAAAAAAAAAAAAAAAAAACCTCTGCCCAGGCACAGTGGCATATGCCTATGATCCCATCACTCCGGAAGGCTAAGAGGACAGCAAGTTCAAGCCCAGTGTGGGCAACTAGTGACTTAGCAAGACCCTGTCTCAAAGTTTAAAAAAAATTTAGAGGGCTGGGGATTTAGCTCAATGGCACCATGTGTGCCTCGAAACACAAGGTCCTGAGTTTGATCTCTGATGCCAAAAAAAAATTTAGAAACGGCTGAAGATGTAGTTCAGTGCAAAGGCCCTCAATCTTCACTACTGAAAAACAAAACAAAACAAAAAACAATCTCTGCCTTGCCTGGCCTGCTCTCAGGGCAGCAAGGTTAAGATAAGGCAAAGGATAGGGTTGCACTTTGTAAACTGACACGGGCAATAGAAGCATAACACTGTGGTCATCATTATTCCTTCGTGATCGGTGATGTGGTCCAACTTCAAAATTAATTTAATCATCACACCCTGGGAGGGAGTATATCTCATTCTCTGGTAGCCCAAGATTTAGTTTCCTTTCATACTCAGGGAGAATCAAAGAAAGGCACCAAGCCTTCACAGTGTGTTTCTAGGCTTGCCCTACTGCAGTGCAGAATGGTCCCAGGCCACGCCCAGTGGAGTCTGAATTCAGAGCCATGAACCGGACATCCTTCCAGTGCTGCTCTGGGCACCTGCCCATTCCTTTCTAGGACCTCCCACTCCAAAGGCTGTTGGCACTGACCCCTCCAATGCCCCCACTTCTCCTGCTGAGATGAAGCCCCAGAGCATCCTCCTCTTCCCTCCCATTCCTAAGCTTCTTTGGGTTGGTTGGTTGGTTGGTTGGTTGCTGCCCAGCAGTGCTCCTTGGAAAATACTACAGAGCTCCTCTGTGCCTCAGAAGATATGAGCCATAGGTGCAATGACCTAATCCATTACAACAGCCCTGTCCACCGAGATGGATCTGCATGCATGTGTTTAAGTTAAGAGTTCACTACAGCAATAGAGATTGAAAGTGTGAAAATCCTGGTATTTGACACTCATCTCAGAGTCTGTAGGGGTTTCTCACCATGCCATCCCCATTTCCTGATAAGAGATCCAGTCCCTGCAGCTTATGCAGCTCTTGTGAACTGTGCATGTAGTGACATTTTATAAATGTTTCTATTTGCAGCCAGATGACTCTCACTGTTGAGCCCCCTTTAAAGATCTCTCGGGCACACCTGGAAGTTCTGTAGCCACGGAGATGTGGAAGATCAGCCTGAGGGTTGCCACTGCTGGGAAGAAGGCAGAGAGGACCAGCTAGGGAGAAAGGAAGCTCAGGGTTAGGGGGCGAGCCAGGTTGAGAGGCAAAGAGCAGTCCACTCCAGGGTGGGGGGATTGCTGTCCCCATTGTAAAGAAAGATTAGAAAATGGCTCAACCTCCCAGAGCTGCTTCCTGCTGGGGAACCCGCTCCAGGTCTGCTCACTCCCAGCTCATGTCGCTGCTGGGCAGATGGGGAGCCCACTACCCTCCAGCCCTGCAGGTACTTAGCAGTCAGTCTGGGTGGGAATATTCAGCTACACATAATGCAGATCAGCCCCCACTCAGAGCTGGTTATGACTTCCATGAGAACTACTGCCTCTGGGAGCTGTCCCCTCCCTGCCACTCTCACCTGTCCTCTGAGGTCTTTGTACCCCAATGGCTGAGATGCCCTTTTCAGCCCAGGAAGAGTGGCTTGAGGGTGTAGCCTGACGGCAGAGCACATGCTTATTATGCGCAAAGCCCTGTTTTCCAGCTTCTGGACTACCAGAAAAATAAACCCAGAGACAAAGGATCCTGAGTTTTAGACGCACAGTCTCCAGTTAACCATAGCCTGGGGAAAGTCATTTTTCTCATCTGCAGATTGAGATGGGGGCGCTGAGGGCCTCTGGGTTTCCCCAACAGGTCATAGGTTGATCTGATGTTAGGGATTGACTTTATATTATTGTTTATCCCATAGGAAGAGTGTTTAAAATGCTTCTCTTGCTTCCTTTGTTGTTTGTACATTTTGCTTTCTTTCAGGGGATTAGAGGACACAATTTGAAGTTGGTCAGGCCCAGGGCCACTCTAGGAAGACATGACTGTAGTGGCTAACATGGATGGATTGCTTGCTAAATGACAGGCGCCCATCCAAGCAATTGATGTGTACAGGCATCTCTGCTAAAATGCGGTATATGTAGCCCCAGAAAACCTCATATTCTGTAAAGTTGCACACTAAAAATAACAGGACTCGGGGGAATGTACAGAACTGGGGAACAGAGGCTGGAGGCTTTAAGGCTCTGCCTGAGGAGGTTTGCTACGTGAAATAAGCCAGCAACCAAAGGATAGATTCTGTGTGATTTCCTTTGCGTGAGGTTCCCAGAGTAATCAAATTCATAGAGACTGAGACAGAAAATAGAATGGTGTTTGCAGGGGACCTGGGCCGAGGGTGAGAGAAGAGATTCAGTTTTGTTTTGTTTCTGTGGAGCTATATTCCAGGCCCTTTTTATTTTATTTGAGACAAGATCTCACTAAGTTGTCCAGTCTGGCCTTCAACATGTGATCCTCCTGCCTCAGCCTCCCAAGGAGCACAGCTTCAGTCATCTTAAGACAGCTGCCAGGCCTGCCATGTGTGCATGGGCTGAGCTATAGGCTTCTCCCTCTTGCTGCACGTTTTCTTTGACTTCGCTTTTCCAGCTCCCAGGCCCGGAAAGCATCACCTGCAGACCATTCAGTTTATACTTTGTGCTGCTCTCCTTCCTGAATGTACCCCCTGCTACAGAAGCCCAGGTTAAGTACAACAGACAGTGCTGGCTGCTGTGAGCCTCCCAGTGCCCCATGCGTGGGTTCTGTTCAAATGGAGCTCCTGTTTCTATATGAGATGCTGAGGCATAGAGGGGCTCCTTAATCCTACTCAAGGTTGCACAGCAGTAAGTGAGGCAGTCTGGCTTTGGATCCTTAGCTGCAAGAGATCTGCCTGAGGCTTGGCCTCTTTCTAACACATGAAACACACTGGGAGGGCCTGGTGAGTGGTGCCAGGTGCCACACGCCGATGCATCTCATACTGTCAAGTTCAAATGCTGACGTCTGTCTCCTCAGGATGGTGCCCCCGCACCCCTGGCATTCAGGCGGCCTCTGCCAGCCTCCGCCCTCCACTTTCTCCTTGTCCAAAGGCAGAAGGCACAGTGATGCCTCCTTCTGAGGAGCACCCCGAGACCCAGGTGCTGAGGACAAGCAGCCTAGCCAGCATCACCTTGTCTTCTTCCCTTGTAGACCTTGGCACCCGCCATCAACTGGCTGCCCTTTCTCAACACCATCTTCTACCCCGTGGAGATCAATGAGTCTGAGCCCATCGTGGTCTACGACAAAGAGTACCTGGAGCAGGTCTCCGTCCTCATCAACAACACCGACAAGTGGTAAGGGAACAGCAAGTGACAAACTGAACCCGGAAAATGGGCTCTGGATGGGCTTCTATGAGGGGCGGAAGGACATCCTGGTTACAGGCACAAGTTCAAGTCCCGGCTCCTCTCCTAGCAGTGTTATAGCCTGGGGCAAGTTCCTTATCCTTTCTGAGGGCCATTTCCTCATCCATAAAACAGGCTGCAAATAGCACCTAGCATTAGGGCACCTGTGAGGATTAAGTGAAATAACCCCCCCAAAGGATTTTAACACAATGCCTGACTCAGAATGGCACTCATAAATGGTAGCTATTATTTTTAGTTAATATTTATATGAAGTAAATATTTATGATATTTTTAAAAAATTTTTTCAGACATGGTCTCATTGTGTACCTCAGGCTGGTCTTGAACTCACTGTGTAGCCCAGGGTGACCTGGAACTCATGGCAATCCTCCTGCCTAAGCCTCCAAAGTGCTGGGATTTCAGGGGTGCACCACCGCACCCAACAGGATATTTTTTAAATTTTAAAGACTTATACAATTGTTGAAAATCACAGAAAAGTAGGACAAAATTTTAAATTACTCAAAACTACTCTGAATCATATGGGATGTATATTGAAGGTGAGGTGGTTTCTGACATGTGGTTCGTTCTTTTCTCCCAGCATTGTGAGTAGATGTACATGGTCTGCTTTTCCCTTGATTTTATCACAAGCATTTTCCCTATGTCCTCCCAAACCCTCTGCAAACATCATTTTTGTGGTTACATAGTATTCTAGGAAGTATACAGACAATTATTTCCTTCCCTGTTTCCAGACATTAAGGTTGGTTTCATTTGGGGCTGAGTGTTCACTGTAGTGAGCATCTTCATGCAGAAGTAATTTCTTTGTAAACTCAGCAGCAGCCACAGTTAGTTTCCCTGTGCCCTGGCCTGTGGCAAAGGGAGCTGTCATTCATAGAAACTTTGACCCAGCTGGCTAGAGCTTCCTTTCCTGCCTCCTCTTCTAGGCCGCCTCTCTGGCCTGCTGGACTGGCCATCTCTTAGCTGTGGAATGGAGCCTCCTCCCCACCCCGTTCTGTAGCACACACCAGGCAGCAGCTTCACACCCCCCAGAAATAGCATTTATTGAACACCAGTGCTATGCAAGTGACTGCACTAGACATTGAGGGTTGTCGTTTCGTGTTGTGTTGTGTGTGGTGCTGGGGACAGAACCCAGGGGCTTGAGCCTGCTAAGCAAGCACTCTACTTGCCACTGAGCAGCATCCCCAGCCGGCTCTATCTATGGTAGAAGACCGAGTCTTCACCCTTGAGGGTCTTTCCTTCCCTGTGCTTGCTTAGAGAGCAGGGACCAGCCACGCCCGGGCAGGCTGGAGCAGAGCCTGGGAGACCCCTAGTGGCTGGCAAGGGAAGGACCACGCAGGGCGTTTCCAAGCCAGTGGGTCCCTTGTCCCCTCTCCCCAGCCTGCTGAACAACTACATGATCTGGAACCTGGTGCGGAAAACAAGCTCCTTCCTTGACCAGCGCTTTCAGGATGCTGATGAGAAGTTCATGGAGGTCATGTACGGGACCAAGAAGGTGAGCCTGGTACTCTCGTGCATGTGCTGAGCACCTACTGTGTGCCAGGTGCTGGCCTGCATGTGGCCTTGGGGAATCTTTGTACCTCTCTGAGCCTTAGTTTTCTCATCTGCAATTTGGGATAGTTCCTGACTTCATCTCACAAGACCCTTGTGAATGGCCTCTGTTTGGGAAAACTGTCATACTGTGTCCAGCAGCAGAGAGTGCAGTGTTCACTGTAACGGGGACAGAGCTTGGCATACGGAAACTGCATGGAACTGGGGTCAGAGGTTCTAGTGTGAAGTACTTCTCACCACGCAACCCTGGGAAAATCACTTCAATGAGGCAGGGGCTCAGTCTTCTCATCTATGTAAGGGAGGAGTAATCCCTGCCCAAGTTACTCTCTGAGTGTCAAGTCTGTCCGAAAGGCTAAAGCTCCCTGCCCTGGCTGTCATCAGTCATTATTTATGAATTGCCAGCTCCAGCAGAGAGGAGGGGCCCCGCTCTGAAACCCTCTCCCCTGTCCTTGCTTAGTGGTCCCTGTATTACAATGGAAAGGAGGATTAAAAAATGAAAATACAGCAAGTTCAGGGAAGAGAAGACTAGCTGGTCACTCCTTATCTTCCCAGAGGTGGCTCTTCCAGGTCACTTGAGATGATGGCTTACACACACGTGCACACACACATACACACACACACTTGAGATGATGGTTTACACACACACTCCACTCCTCTCCTTTCAGAGATTTTTCTCATAGCCACTTATTCCTTGAATGACCCCTTTGGGTAAGTGATTTAACCTGTCTGTACCCCAGTTTCTTTATCTCCAAAAAAGATCAAAGAGAATGCCCAGCTGCGTGACTGTTAGGAGCACATGGTAACACTGAAATCTTCACCATGACTGCTGTTGGGACCATTATGGGTGTGGCGTGTCTGCCTCTCCTGCTGGGCGCCCTGAGCATTCCAATGGAATTCTCAAGGACAAGCCTACAATTGCTTCGGCTTTAGTTTTCCAAGACCTGGCCCTATCGCAGAACAGTGAAACTGCCCAGAGAATGAATGCAGGGAGCAGTGAACGGGTCTAGACACAGACACCCCAAAGACAGCAGATAAGATCCACACTTCAACCTGGATCCTTCACGGAGCCTCAGATTTAGAGCCCCCAGCCATGACCTCCTATGTTGCCAGATCCTGTGCAGATCTGTCCAGCTGTGGAAGGGCAGGCGGGAGCAGGAGGCGGAGGCCTGCCTAGGAACACATGGTTGGGAAAGCTGGAAAGAACTTGCAGAACTACACATGCAGCAGAATACACTGCCCACCTTTCTTCTTTCTTTTCTATAAGAAATTTTTTCAATAAGACTTAACTTACGATAAAATATACCGTATTGAACTGTGTAAGTATACAATGAGTTTGACAAATGAAGTTACCTATGTAACCACCACCCAGCCAAGATAGAGAGCATGACCTACTTACCTAACATCCTCCAAGTGGAAAGTCCTCCGCTTCCAGCCAGTCCCCTCGTCCTCTGGGATGTGACGTAGGCGGGTGTAGACAGAATCATCCACTATGCGCCTTGCTCCTCGTGCTCAGCATAAGTGTGTGAAATTTACTCATGTTGTTGCATCTGTGAGTAGTTCATTCCTTTCTGTTGCTAAGTAGAATGTTGCTGTATAAAAATACCACATTGTGTTTATCCATCTGTCTGCAAATGGCATCTGGGTTGTCTGTGCCTTAGAGCTGATACAATCCAGCTGCCCTGAGCATGGGGGGGTGCCACCCCACTTCCTGGGACTGGGAGGGCATCAGCTGTCCCTGTAGCAAGAAGGACTTACGGGAGCAGGGCCACCACCATGGTTTCTCACACTGTCCATGGAGGAATGGCACTCATCACCATGTGTGTCCCAAAGGACCGCACCCTCAGACCCATTTCCAGGTCCCACAGAAGTGTCCTGTGGACTCATGGGAACCCATGGGTGAGAGCAAGGAAGAACCAACACATGGAAACCTTTCTGGGAAAGTTTCCTGTTGCTTAGGTAACCACCCAGTGTCCTCCAGAGGGCAGGACAAGGCAAGGGCAAGGAGGGTGACTTAGTTACTTTCTCACTACTGAGATATAGTACCTGACACCCACAAGTCTGAGGTGGATTTCATCCCAGCCTCAGTGAGCATCACATTCCCATGATCCAGTCACCTCCCCAAATCCCCACATGTGAGGGCATCAGACTTTGGGGGGACATCTAGTTGTGGAGTCAGGCATGTCACAGGTCTCCCCACACAGCACTCTTTCCCTGCCGTGGGACCCTGGACCAGTGACTGCCCTTGCTGAATTTCTGTTTCCTCATCTGTCCAGTGGCCCATGATCCCTGCCTGCCAGGGGATTTGGATGGCCCAGCGGCAGGTGGCTGGGGGTGGGCCAAAAATAACTTACACTGGGTCAGGAACGCTCTGTCTTCCTGAAGTTCTGGAAAGTGCCACCTCCAAGACAGAAAGAGCTTGGGAAAAGGATAGGGACCCAGTGACCCTTTCCCTTGTGTTTTCCAGACCTGCCTTCCCCGCTGGAAGTTTTGCGTGAGTGACACGGAGAACAACTTGGGCTTCGCCCTGGGCCCCATGTTCATCAAAGCAACATTTGCCGAGGACAGCAAAAACATAGTAAGTTCTCCCACTTGGACACGGCCTGTGACATCACTCCTGCAGCGGGCCCCAAGGACCTGACTGCCCTCGCTGTGTCTGCTCCAGGCCAAGGCCCCAAGATTGGCCTTAACTCTGAGGTCTGTCTTCTCAAGGTGTGAAGAACCTGAGGTACTCATACTGGCTACTGTCATTGAGCGCCAGGCCCACTGTCCATATTACCTAATTTGACCTTTCTGGTGACCCCACAGGGTCAAGACAGCCCCCTCTACCTCCAGAGCCAAGAAAGCCCTGGTGAGAGGATGTTGGTGGAGCAGCTCTGGCCCAGAGGGTGACCTTTTTCTTGCTCTGCGGATAACTGGCTCACTCTGATGGGCAGAGGATCGTCCTGGCTAAGCACCACTGAGACAGGCCCCAGCTCCTGTCCTGTCACTGGCCCTGTCACTGCCCTGCCGGTGACCTGGGCATTGCTCTCACCTCACAGGTGACATGGAGGTGGGGCTGTCCCTCTTGCAAGGAAGTTAATTTAGATTCTACATATAATGAGCACTTGGCAAGGCATAATGAACTGTTTACTAAGTGGCAGCTGTCACAGCAATGTTAGTTTTTATTCCTGAGAGTATCGATTGCACCAATGTTACCTGTGGTCGGAGGTTAGCAGACTGTGACTCCAATCTGTTCACCACTGGCCTATGAGCAGCTGAGGAAGAATCTAGGTTGACATCCACTGGCCAGAGCCCTGCTGCTCTTGCTGCTGCATGGCCCTGCCTTGACCTTCTCTGGAATCTTCTACCTTCTGTCTCCACCACAGCATGGACATCCTCCAGAGCTGCCATTTTTTCCTGGTGTGAGCTTGGCATTTCTGAAACTGCTCCTCAGAATCGAGTCCTTAGATATTAAAACTCATTCCATCCAGAAGGAATTCTGTGGTCCGGGAAGTCTGGGAGAAGCTACGTTATCTGGCCAGAATCCCAGTCCACTTTACCACAAGAAAGGCTCTGAAAAGTCACACAGCAGAGACTTTTCCTGCTTCCCCAAGCTTATTTGACTACTGTTTATGGAAGGCCAGTCCAGTCTGGAAAGAGGTGACCCTTAAGATGTGGTTCAGCAACGTGGCCATGGCTGCCCTTTGTATCCTGAGGCCTTGAGCTAAACCTAAGTTTAGTCTGTGGCCCAGCATCATCCATTGGCAGGGGCCGCCACTGGGTTAGGTGAGGCCGATGCTCAGCCCTTGCTGTCTCCTCAGGCCAGTGAGATAATCCTAGAGATCAAGAAGGCCTTTGAAGAGAGCCTGAGCACCCTGAAGTGGATGGATGAAGACACCCGGAAATCAGCCAAGGAGAAGGTGAGGCTGCAGCCACAGGTAGAGGAAAGAAAGATGCAGGGTCGCTGTCCTGCTTTGTGATCTAGGTTTAGCAGGATGGGGACCGCCTGAAGTCCCTGGCTATGTAGTGCTTGTGTGAACATCCCACGGCAGAAAGCACGCACACGTGTACGCATGCACACATGAGAAGGGGAGGGGAGCGAGAGGCCTGAACTAATCCCTCAGGAGCTGGCTCCTGTGACAACTGCCCCACTCCCACAGAAGTGACATGAACCATGCATGAGAACGGAGCCCTCTCGGCCCAGTGCCCCCTTAAAGGCCCCTCTTGTCCACATGATTGCATTGGGGATAAAGTGTCTGACACACTGGGGACACATCAAATCATAGCAGCTTCTCTTAGGGAAGTGACATTTAATAAGAGACCTGGTAGGCAGGGGTTAGGTGAGCAGGGAATCTTCCAGAAAGAAACATGAAACCCTTCAGGAGGGAGCTGTCCTGCCTCCCTTCTCTGCCTCCCACCTCTCCTATCTCCCAGGCCTGACCCTGAACCTGGAGCTATAGCTCTGGGGCCCCTGGCCAACATTGCTTGGTGCTCATGTCCCCCTTCATGTCCCTCCTGTCCAGGCGGATGCCATCTACAACATGATAGGCTACCCCAACTTCATCATGGACCCCAAGGAGCTGGACAAAGTGTTCAACGACGTGAGTAGCTTCTACCTGCCCTTTTGCATCCCAGATATCCACTTGGGAAAGGTTGAGGTGGGGCTGGGTCCGGGTGGGTTGCTGAAGGCAGCATGGCTGGTGACATCTCGAGGTGATGGGGTTGGGCATGAGGAAGCCATCTTGCTCCTTCATCTCTGGGGTCAGCTGGAAGCCCCTGGAACTTCATCAGGCAACCAGGTGGTGCCCGTGCAGAGCCTGTGCTGTGGTGGCCACTAGACATGGTCAGCTCCCCTGAATGGGTGGAAGATAATGGAGGGTGGGCCAGGGGTGCAGCTCAGTGCATGCTTAGCATGCACTGGGCCCTGGGTTCAATCCCCAGCACTACAAGAAAGCCAGGGAGAGTGGGAAGGAGGAAGGGAGAAAGAAGGAAAGGGGAAGGAGAAGGAGGAGGGAGGGACAGGAGGGAAAGAAGGGAGGGAAAAAGGAGGCAGGGAAGGGAAAGCACAAAGAAAAGGAGGGGAGAGGAGAAGAAAGGGAGATACAGATCCTACAAGGTGCAGGAAGAATTAATGGCCCTAAAACATCACAGTGCAGTAAAAAAATAGCCCCTCACACTGCCTGCTCCTACCCGAGAGTTGCCTCCTCTCTCAGGCGTCCTCTGCCGTCCCCTCAGACAAAACTTGGACCTCTGATTTTGACTTTGAATGCTAGCAGGAAAGAGAAAGAATAAATCCCAAGTGCATTTTTAAGCTTAATTTAGGCAACAAGGATAATTGCTCCTGGTTAGAACTTAAATGGATTGTGGTTTTGCCCCAAATGATAAAGTTTTGTCTCTTCTCATGATTGAAATGTGTGAATTCAGGCATTTCTAAAATTATAATAACCTCTCATCGTGGTTACATTTAAAACCTACGACTACTCAAAATTGCTTCTGGGAATACAGGACTCATTCTGCAGCCCCATTCTATGGGAATAATTGAAGATGCTCCAGGGTCAGGATGCAAGACCAGGGCTCCTGGAGGCAGCCCAGGCAGTGCCCATGGGGTCAAGGTCCTCTGAGAGGGCCCGGTGTTTACCAGAGGCGGAAAGATGTGCAGAGGGTCTGGGCCAGAGCTCGTGGCACCTGTCAGGAGGGAAGGGTGGTGAGAGGTGTGCTGCTGCCTGTCCTGACACTTCAGAGACAGGTTCTGGCTCGATGTGTTGCATCTGTGCTGTCCAGTGTGGTAGCTGCTGGCCACAGGGGGCTATTTAATTAATTAAAATTTAAATTAAAAAGTAAAAAGGGGCCAGGGATTTAGCTCAGTGGTTTCGCCACCTGCTGCCCAAGCGCAAGGACCCAAGTTCGATCCCCAGTACCAAAAAAAAAAAGGTAAAAGGGCCAAGAATTTAGCTCAGTAGTGCCACGCCTGCCTCACAAGCACAAGGTCCTGAGGTTGATCCCTGACAATGCAAAAAAAAAAAAAAAAAAATGAAAAGGTAAAGGCCACACTAGCACATTCAAAAGGCCCAATAGCCACCTGTCACTAGATCCTACCATATTAGCCAGTGTGAGTATGCTACGGGTCTGTCCTCATGATCCTGTCAGCACTAAGATATTTCCCGTTCTTGCCTAAGGCCCAGGGGCTGCTGCAGGGACGTCCCTGTGACACTGTCAGGCACCCCAGTGAAGGTCTCAGAGTGTCTTTGAAGGGGAGACGCAATGGCAGCCCAGGCAGGGTGAAGGCTGAGGGAGGGGCCCCAGCCTGCAGTGCTGAGCCCCCCTGCTCTGCCTCTGGCCTGCAGACCAACTCCGGCCTTATGGCATCTCAGTGTCCTCTGCACTAAGAAGTGCGCCCCGCCGAGGTGTGCTCTGACCTGTGTCTCTGGTTTTTTTTCCAGTACACCGCAGTGCCAGACCTCTATTTTGAGAATGCCATGCGGTTTTTCAACTTCTCGTGGAGGGTCACCGCCGACCAGCTGAGGAAAGCCCCCAACAGAGATCAGTGAGTCCCCAGACCCCACCAGGAGTGCGCTGGCCCCCCACACATAGGGGCACCCGGTTGACAGAGCCCTGTGGAGTGGAGACTGTGGTTATCCCACTTTTCAGATGAAACCAGAGGCCAATGTGGGTCCTAGCCAGGGGCTGCTACAGGCCCGAGTCTGTGCACCCCCAGCACCCAACCTCTTGCCAGAGTAAGCCAGGCCACTGCTGCTGAGTGTACCTGACCCCATGTGCCAGCTCTGTGGCCTCGGCATTCATAGCCTTCCTTTCATTGTCGTGGAATAGGCTGGAAGTAGCTGTTCTAAGGCTATGGTGACAATCAAGTGTGAGAACTTCTAGACGAGGCTAGGCAGAAAGGAGGCCTCCCCAAAGGCTGGGGTCCCCTAACTTCTCGGGAACAGGAATGCTGGCTCTTCAGGGCCAGGTCTTCCACAGAGGCCCAGGGAAGGTTCTGTTTGGGCCCTGACAATGCTGGCTTCCAAACATCATTGGGCTCGGCACCCCTGCAGAACGTTTTCAGAAACCACAGTCACTGGCCCAGGGATTTAGCTCAGTGGTTCCGCCGTCTTCCTCACAAGCCCAAGGTCACCAGTTCAATCCCCAGTACCCAAAAACCCCCCGCAAAAACCAACACAGTCACCTGGGCCAGAGGTTGAGCTCAGTGGGGTACAGAGTGCTTGCTTGACCTATGTAAATCAGAGTAACCTGGAGTGATGCTTGGGTTTAAAAAAAAAAAAAAAAATCTCCTCAGAAAAGTCAGGTGTAGTCAGCCTAGGACTAGGCCTCATTTTGCAAATTTTTTTGTTTGTTTGTTTTGTTTTTTTGAGGCAGGGTCGCCCTTTGTAGTGCAGGCTGGCCCTGAACTCACTATGTATCCCAGGCTGGCCTCGAATTTGCAGTGATCCTCCCGCTTCAGTGCTCAGATTTCAGGAGTGCACCACCACTCCCAGTTTTTGCAAATCTTACTTAAAGGTGAAGCAACGTCTCTTTGCCTCTGGCTCCCCCTTGTGGACAACAAAACTCCTGAGAATTTATCTGGGTTTTTAAATTTTAACTTAAAATTTTTCATTTAAATTTTGCCTTCCGCTGGGCGCAGTGGTATACACCTGTAACCCTGGATACTCGAGTCTAAGAATTGCCTGGGCCTGTGAGTTTGAGATCAGGTCCAGCTACATAGTGAGACTTTACCTCAAAAAAAATTTTTTTCTTTTACCCATCGTGTATCCATGGTTATTGAAATGTGAATATGATGTCTCAAGTTTCTCAGTGTTTTTTGTTTTGTTTTGTTTTTTGGGGATGAGCTCTCACTAAGTTGTCCAGCTGGCCTTGAACTGTTGGGCTTCAGCAGTCCTGCTGCCTCAGCTCCCATATAGCTGGGACTACCAGTGTGGCCCCCACACCCAGCAAATTTCTTGATATCTTTATGTTCCTTTGGGGCATTCCTTGACACTGGAGGAGACAGGGTGACTGTCTGTGCTCGCGGAGAAAATACCATTTCTGTCTTGCTTCCTTCCTCTCTGCACCAAGAAAATAACTGAAATGCCAAATATTTCATTACATCGTGCTGTTAGTTTCAAACTTTTTGGTCCACCCGTCTATATTCTTAAAAAATTTAGATGGGCGCGGTAGCTCACACCTGTGATCCCAGCACTTTTGAGGCTGAGGCAGGGGAATCACTGCAAGTTTGAGGACAACTTGAACTATATAGCGAGACCTTGTCTCAGAACACACAAAGAAGAACCCCATAAAGCTTTTTTGTTTATGTGGACTATGTTGATTTTTATGAAAATGTTATGAAAAATATTTTCTAGACAAAATTTAATGAAGAGAGACATTGTTTTACTTTTTGCAGACTTTTTTTGTGTATTAGCTGGGGGTCAAACCCAAGGTCTTATATGTGTTAGGCAAGCAATCTACCACTGAGCTACACCCCCAGCCCAGGAAAAGTTTTTTTTTTTTTAATGGTACTGAGGATCAAAGCCATGAGTGCAGTATCACTGCACTATACCCCCAGTCCTTTAATTTTTTTAAATTTTAAGACGGTGTCTCACTAAAATGTCTAGGCTAGGCTCAAACTTGCAATCCTCGTGTCTCAGCCTCCTAAATAGGATCACAGGTGTGTGCCACGACAACTAGCTGAGAAAGGTCTTTAAGTACTGGGAAGCAGTTAGATTTGTGGTAACTAATACAGGTTTTTCAATTATTAACTTTCAACTGGGAGCAGTGGCACACACCTATAATCAGAGCCTTTGGGAGGCTGAGGCAGGAGAATCACCTTGAGTTTGAGGCCAGCCTGAGCTACATAGTGAGTCGCTGTCTCAAAAAAAAAATAACTTTCATTTGAAACCTCAGGCTTTTTTTAAACCTTACATTTTTACCATTGGCAACAAATGATTTCTGGCCTTTTCCTGGAAATGATAAGCCCACGTTATACATTTTCAAGAAAATGTCCAGTATCCAAGGCCAAAATTCCAGTTTGTCAGTCATCCCAAAAGTACATATGGAGTCCAATACAGAGAGGTGCCGTGTGGGTATTTCCCACTTGGCCACATGGAATATTAAAACGACTTGTATTCAGAGGTCCAGATTTAATGGAATTAAAAATCATGCTGCTTCTTCCAGGGTGTTCTGGGTGAAACAGTGTATTGCTTTTGTTTTGGTTTGGTTTGTTTTGTTTTGTTTGCTGTACTAGGGATTGAACCCAGGGCCTTTGCACTGAAATACATCCCCAGCCTTTTTTTTTTTGGTACCAGGGATCAAACTTGGGTCCTTGCACTTGCGCAGCAGGCGCTGAAACCACTGAGCTAAATCCTTGGCCCTCCCTAGCCCTTTTAAAAACTTTTTTTATTTTGAGACAGGCTCTCATTAAGTCACTAAGTTGCTCCGACTGGGCTCAAATTTGCACTCCTCCTGCCTCAGCCTCCCAGAGTGCTGGGATTATAGGTGGTTTTCACTGGAGTGCCTGGTGGGGACAGACTTGCAACCACTAGGCCCTGCCTGGACCCCTGGCTGGGCTCCAGAAGCTTTATGCACCGCTACATCTGCACCATCAAGTGAATGGCAGCATCTTAATGTTCTTATGGAAATAGTTTGATGTCATGGACCCACTGCAAGGGTCTTGGGGACCACAAGCTACACTTGGAGAACTGCTGGTAGACACGTTTTAACCCTCAACAGGGAGGCCTGTTCCCTATACAATGCTGTCTTGAGCCTCAATGTTGGTACCATGTGATTTAACCAGTCCCTTACTTATGCACAGTCAGGTGTTTCCTAGTTTACCCCTCCAATGCGGTCTGCTCTGGATGTCCTTGTACTTGGGTGCCCTGGGCATGGGAGAACCCACATTTTTAAGGCTTGCTATACAGGCATCCCCACAGTACCCACCCCTAGCCAGGCATGACACCTGGCCCCCCGTTGCTGCAGGTGGAGCATGACGCCCCCCATGGTGAACGCTTACTACTCGCCCACCAAGAATGAGATCGTGTTTCCAGCCGGGATCCTGCAGGCACCGTTCTACACCCGCTCCTCACCCAAGTAGGTGTCTCTGGTGCTGTGACCTTAGCTCCTTCCCCACCCTTGGTGGCCCAAGCCCTGCCCTGTGTGCATAGTCGGACACTCACCAGCCACTCTTATGGAGCCATCTGTGCCCAGTGGCCCAGTGGCCTGGCATTGAGAGAGGGTTCGGAGGAAACAGCTTCTGTCCCTCCCCTCCCCGCAGGGTCTCCTGGCTCAGAGCAGGGTGGGGTTGGTGCCCTAGTTGGGGAGACATTGCTCCTGACAGTGTTTTACACAATCAGAGCTGGGGACTTGGGAGGAGCAGGGCACCATCCCACAAATGAAATCTTCAGGGTCCTGGGTATGAACCCCACCTGGGCTGTTGGATGATCGTTTGGCACTTGGGCAAAGCAATGGCCGTTCCCAGCCTGGTTTGCTCAGCTGTTACCTCACCCAGCTATGCTGAAACCACTGAAGGGAAGCCCCATGCATGGCTCCCAGCTTGCACCAGTTTCAGGGCCACATCCCCACTGAGCCCTGGGACTCTGCTGTGTCCCAGGCTGGGAAGTGAAGGTCATATATGGGGCAAGAACTAGAGGCCCTCCTGAGGCATCATCCTCTTTTGTGCCTCTCTCTACCTCCAGGGCCTTGAACTTTGGTGGCATTGGTGTTGTCGTGGGCCACGAGCTGACACATGCTTTTGATGACCAAGGTACCAGTTCCATGAGGGCCCCTTCAGACAGAGTCCATTGGCTTCCTCATCCCCTGCGGAGGCTGTGCCTGCCTCAAGGTCCTGGAGTGGGGTGGCTGCGTGAGCCCTTTCTGGCTGGGCCCTGAGAGGCTGGTGAGGAGCAGAGGTCCCAGCACGCCTCTCCTGGTCCCACACAGGTCGGGAGTATGACAAGGATGGCAACCTCCGGCCCTGGTGGAAAAACTCCTCAGTGGAGGCCTTCAAGCAGCAGACAGAGTGCATGGTGGAGCAGTACAGCAACTACAGCGTGAACGGCGAGCCAGTGAATGGCCGCCACACACTGGGCGAGAACATTGCTGACAACGGGGGCCTCAAGGCAGCCTATCGGGTGCGTGAGCCCCCTGCACTACATAGACACCCTGGAGACCTGCAGCATCTCTATGTGCCTCGGTTTCCCCATCTGAGCTGTAGGTGTGGTAGGGTCCTATGGAGAGCAGACCAGGAAATCAGCTGGCGCAGAGCTCAGCTGGCTTCCAGCCTGCCTGGCTGAGGTGGGGAAGGGCTGGCCTGGGCTGCCTGCAGGTTCTTACTGCATTCTCTGCAGGAAAGCCACCACCATGGGGCCTGGGTTTTAGGCCAGTTCTGGGTTCGAATCCTCCTGAGCACCTGTTTTCTGGCTGTGCACACCTGACACCTGTGCCATTGTGTCACTGGGATGTCAAACCAGACAATGCAGACAAAGGCCTGGTGCCCTCAAAGATGCCAGCTGAGCTGGAACAAGAGGAAACAGGCCATGAGAAAAAAGCAGGAGTACCTGTCAGAGCAGTACCAGGGTTTCTCCTGTGACAATCAGAGCAGAAGTACCTATCCTGCATGGTAGTGCACACCTATGATCCCAGCACTTGGGAGGCCGGTCAGGAGGATTACCTGGGCCACATAGTTCAGGGGCAGCCTGAACTACATCAAGAGACCTTGTTTCAAAAAAAAAAAAGAAAGAAAGAAAGAAAGAAAAACAGGACAAAGTAGCTGGCCATAATGATACATGTCTATAATCCCAGCACTCAGGAGTCAGAGGCAGGAAGATTGACACAAGTTTGAGGCCAACCCCAACTACATAGCAAGACCCTGTCTCAAACAACAACAACAACAGAAAATAGGACAAAGTGATGAAGAGTAGTGGGAGGGGGAGGAAAGCTGGCCTCCCAAGGGTATGACATTTGACAAGAAGCAGGAGAAGCTGGGGACATAGTCTCAGCAAAGAAAGAGCAGGTGCAGAGGCCATGAGGAAGATGCGAGTCTGGCTCATTCACAGACAGGAAGAAAGGCAGGGGGCAGAGAGGAAGGAGTGTGGGGCCCAGGACTGGGGCCTTCTGGCCTTGTTGCTGAGGACAGGCCTTGGATTCCATTCCTTTTACAATGGAGAGCCCCTGCAGGGTCCCTGAGTAAAAGAATGACATGATCTAATTTATCCTTGAAAACATCAGCAAATCTGCAGGCCAAATCCAGCCCTCAACCTGTTTTCATAAAGTTTTGGGGGGATACAGCTATGCTCATTTGTTCACAAATGAGCTATGTGTGGCTCCTTTTGCACTGTAAGAACAGAGTTGTGGTGAGTGTGGTGGCACAAGCCTTTAATCCCCACACTGTGGGAGGCTGAGGCAGAAGGATTGCAAGTTGTTTTTTTTGTTTTTGGTACCTGAGATCGAACTCGGGTCCTTGCGCTTATGTAGCAGGCATCGAAACCACTGAGCTAAATCCTCAGCCCAGAAGGATTGGAAGTTTGAACCAGCCTAGGTAGTTTAGCCACTTAACAAGACCCTGTCTCAAAATAAAAAATAAAAAGGACTGGGAATGTAGCTTAGTGGAGAGACCCTGGGTTCAAATCCCAGTACTGCAAACAAAACAAGAGCAAAGTTGAATGGTTGCCACCAGGACTTAGGCCACAAAGGTGAAAGCGGTTACTCCCCTGCCCTCAGGAAGTCTGCAAGGGCCTGCTGTAAAAGGCCCACTTAGGCTGTTGTATAGGGGGGGATCAGAATCAGATCAGTCTGAGTCCAGGAGGCCAGGCAAGAGGACCAAGGGGAGTAGTGGAAAGGGGTCAGATTTGGGATGTTTGCTTTAACTGAAAAAGAAGAACTGAACAGAAATTGTGGGTTTTTTGGCTCCAGTAACTAGGTCGATAGTAGATGGTGGTTTTATATGCTGTGATGGGAAAGCTCTGTGTGTGGTTTTGTGTGTGTGTGTGTGTGTGTTGTGTGTGTGTGTATGTGTATTCTGTGTTCTATTTGTGCCACATTAAGTGTGAGATACAGCTTGGATGTCCAGCTTGGGAGCTGAATATATATAAATCAGGGAAGAGGCTAGAGCCGGAAGTGTAAACTTGAGAGCTGCCAGCACTGAGGTGGTATTTTAGGCCATGGGCCTGAACGCGCCCACTTGGGAATGAGAGCAAGGAAAGGAGAGGGCTCCCCTGAGCAGTTCTGCCCTGCTAGGGGCAGCTTCCCCCAGCCCACCCCAGCCCACTGCACTGAGCTGCAGCCCAGACTCTGCTCCCTTCCCCCAGGCATACCAGAACTGGGTGAAGAAGAACGGGGCTGAGCAGACGCTGCCCACGCTGGGCCTCACCAATAACCAGCTCTTCTTCCTGGGCTTCGCACAGGTGAGTCCTTAGGAAACAATGCCAAACTCAAGCACATTCTGCCTTCACATGTTCCAAGAGCTCCGGAGCCCAAGGCAAGCTTCCTGCCTGTCATACTGACTGAGGGACAGTCCCTGGCAGGCGGGCAAGCTTCTCACTCTCAGAGGCTCAGGGAGAGCCCAAGAGCGCTGATAAAAGCGTCCTGTGTCCAGTAGGTGATTGCCAAGGTCCCTTCTGGTTCTGGGGTTCAAGAAATTTCTTAAACTGAAGGTACATCCATCATGTTGCCCCTTGAGTTGGCATTCCGCTGATGGTCTTCTGTTGGCACCCAAAGCTACCACTCTGGTAGACAGCTTCTAGTCCTGGAAATATGAGGCTGGACCAAATCCAAGGTTTTCAAAGTGGTCTTCAGGCAGAATCTCCTGTTCAGATAAAATCCAGGGCAGATGTCTCAGACCAACAGACCCTGCTCTGGCTAGGTGGGGACACAGCTTGTTAACACCTGCATTAGGGCACAGGTATGGGGACATGCCAGCCACTGGCTCTTCCTTACCCACCTGGCAGGCCCACCTGACATGCTGAGATCTCAGGACCAGGTGAGGGGCTCATTCAGCTGGTATTATGATGGGACCGTTCTGATGGCCTCAGGACCTCAACAGTGACCCCAGCTTCTTCCTGTTACCCCCTCAGGTCTGGTGCTCAGTCCGCACGCCAGAGAGCTCCCACGAAGGCCTCATCACTGACCCTCACAGCCCTTCCCGCTTCCGGGTCATTGGCTCCCTCTCCAATTCCAAGGAGTTCTCAAAACACTTCCACTGCCCGCCTGGCTCACCCATGAACCCGCATCATAAATGTGAGGTCTGGTAAGGGGCAAAGCACAGGGAGCCAAGGCGGAGGAGGGGAAGGGGCCAAGGACAAATCCCGAAGACAGGGCTGCCGGTCTGCCCCTCCTGCTGGGCTCCAGGGCACTGCCCAGCCACCTTCCCTACATGGAGGGATTGTAGATGTCATCTTGCTGCCCGTGATAGACGCTCTCAGCATTACCTAGGATTGGTCCCCCAAAAGACCTGTCATCCCGGGCATTTGTGTGCTGACTTAGCGACTTCCAGGTGTCAGGCTGGTGTTTGCCGGGCCTGGGCCCCACACCGACAAGGGCAGTGGGACACAGCCCCTCGCCCACCTCCAGCGCCAGATATACCACAAATACCACTGTGTTGAATGCTTTAAAGATATATTTTTGGGGAAACTATTTTTTAAACATTATGGAATACACTGGAAATCTTCAGGGAAAAATGCATTTAAAACTCTTTTTTTTTTAGGAAAGGATTGGTATATTTATTATGTTCTGTTTTTCTAAATAACCTGTGGACAAAGGAAGCCCCCATTGAGGTACCCCTCACTTTGAGGCTGGGCGGAGGGAGGGACCCCCAGGCCGCTGAGCAGGTGCCCAGATAGAGCCACTTCAGCCCTTGGAGTATGCAGTGCAGCTTCTGCCATCACCTGCACGGACAGGAAAGAGACTGGGGGCCAGGCAGCAGGGGGAGCCAGCTGGGGACCCTGCTCGGAGGCACAGCCCCTGGGAACCCCAACAAGGAAGTTCTGATCCCCAGTGTCACAGTGGGGGATTAGTGGCCGCAGTAGAATGAGGCCAGGTCAGAGCCCTTGAACACAAGCTAAGAGTACCTGAAGACCCTGGTCACCCAGTGGGCTGACCCTCCCCATCAGACGTACTGCTGTCCATAGATGTCCGCTTCCCAACCTCCTGTGTTGGTTGCCCCATTTCTGTCCCAGGGACCTGTTGCCTCTTTGTAGCAATCCTCCCATCCAAGCCACTGCGGAGTCTGCCTTGCTGATCCTCTTCCCAGGGGAAGGAGAAAAGGGGCATCAGCTCTCCTTGTCTCCTGCAAGGTCTAAACCCTCCCTCTGAGCTCCACCCCCCACCCCCACCCAGCCTGGCCTGGCTCCAGGCCCGGGTCACTAGTGCCTTATTATTGAGGCTGCAGCCCCTGGCACCACCAAGGAAATAGCCCTGCCCCAGAGGCCCTTAGCCTCCTCAGTGGAGCCCCCAAGTGTCCTGACTGGAACCCCCGTTCCTGGTGCCCACCAGGCCGCCCCTCACTATCCCCAAGACAGCAGCTCTGGAAGTCAACAGCCACCCTGAACTCCCTGAAAGCTCCAGCCACTGGAGCCCCCTGGGTTGGATCAAGACAGTACCTGGAAGTGGAGCGCTTCTCTCCTTTGGGGTGCTGTTGGCAAGAAGAGGCTATAAGGGGAAGGTCCCTCAACCCCATGCAGCCCGTAGTGTCAGGAACCAGGAATGTCATCCCCTCCCTGAAGCTGCACCTTCTCCAACTGAGATTCCTGGGCTCCACCAGTGGAGCTCAATGTGGCCCCAAAGCATGCTGAGGGAAGCCAGCCCCGAGACAGGTAGGCCGCTCATCAGTGCCGCTGGCCAGGCCCCCAAAGATGCATGCCCCTAGCCTAGGAAGCTAGGCTTCTCCTTGCCCACAAAGCAGACAGCCCTGCCAGCCTTGGGTCAGCCTCAGAGCTGGAACAGGGGGTTGGAAGCAGGCTTATCCGAGGCCCCAGGCACTGCCAGCAAATTCAAGGCCTGGTAGCTCTTCAGGCGAAAAATGAGACAGGAAGCAGGAAAGGAGCTGGAGCCCAGTATCAGCCACACAGGGGTGACCCCTTCCCAGCCCTGGTCCTCTCTGCACCTCCTCTCCCTCCACCTTCTGCCTTCCCCATGGAGGAAGCAGGCTGGAAAATGTCAGCACTGCCATGGAGAAGCCAGTGTCATTGTGCCCATTGTTCAGGGTGTGTGCTGGGGATTGGGAGGTGGCAGGGCCCCAGGGGTGCTGGATGCAGAGGCAGCTCCATGAGAGCCTCGCCCCTTAGGCCTGGGAGCCTCTCTAAGCTGCCCCCTCTGCGGGTACACAGTCCTGGGGTTTGGAGCAGGGAATCTATTTTTTGTATTAGGATGTTTCGTGCTACTGTAGTTTTGTTGTGGCACTATTGTAATTAAAATAAAGTACTTATACTGGGGCCTTGAGTCTGGGTGTCTGTCCTTCTTGGGTGGGGTGGGGCTGTGGGAGAGCCCCAGGCCAGAGCCCCAGGGCAGAGGTTTTGAATGCTGATGAAGCCCACTGGTTCGCACCTGCAACCCACCCAGCCACTCCACAGAGATGCTGTGTGAGCGTTCCTGCTGGTGAGAAAGACACTTATCACTGCCCCGGCCTATGAGGCCTCTAGGAAAAAGTCAGATTTCCTTGTCTTGGAGCAGAGGAGTTTCCAGATCTGAGGCTTGGACAGGCAACAGGAGCAGGGACATTCAGAGAGGTTCAAGGAAGAGCCTTCTCTTGGGCTTGCACCTGCTCCCTGCTCTGCCTAGAGTGTTCTCCCGTGACTTCTCTGCCTAATCAACTCCTAGCCATCCTTCAGTGCCCAACTTGGCATCACCTTTAGGAAGCCCTTCCTCATGTCTCAGTCCAGATCAGATGGGCTTACACACCTGGACACCTGGATCTCCCACCAGAGTGTGAGTTTGCTAGGGCTTATGCAACACAAGAGTTTAGTCCTGTGGTTCTGGAGGCTAAAAGTCCAAGATCCAGGGGTTGGCAGGATTGGTTCCTTCTGAGGCCTGTGAGGGAGGATCTGCTCCATGTCTGTCTCCCAGCTTCTGGTGCCTTGCTGGCCCTCTGCATCCCACTGTTGCCACCTTCCCGTGGCCTTCGGCCTGTGTGTCTGTGTCCAAATTTCTCCTTTTAGCAAATCAGGGAGTATCACGATCCCTGACTTGAAATTATACTACCAAGCCACCACGATAAAAACAGCATGGTACTGGCACAAAAACAGACCAAAGGATCAATGGAACATTCTAGAAGATGCAGAAACAACTCCAAACACACTCAGCCACCTTATCTTTGACAAAGGGGCCAAACACCTTCACTGGAAGAAAGACCTCTTTAATAAACAATGCTGGAGGGCCGGGGATTTAGCTCAGTGGCACTCCAGCTCCCTGGCAAGCACAAGCTCCTGAGTTCAATTTCCGGTACTGGGAGCTGCCCACTCCTTTTCCAAGAAGGGAGACAGTTTTTTTCCTGCCAGATTCCCAGCCTGGGCCTGCAGATACCTGCCCTCCAGGTGCCCCCTTCCCACCAACAGAGCAGGTACCTTCCTCTCCCTCACCCTCCACTCCTCCCTCCTCTGTTAGTAACAAATCCTCCCCCAAAGTCAACATGTCCCCTCTCCACACAAGACTGGAAACCCCAGCCTGGCCCTGAGGGCTGTGCCCTGCAGCACCCCTCAGTACCTGGGAACAACAAAAATGTGAGCAAGCTGTAGTCAGGAACTGTGTAAGCAGAAGGACCGGAAAGAGGCTCTCAGGAAGGATGGGGCAAGTGTAGAGAGAAGAATTAGAGGCAACTCTACACTTTTATATACTTTTTTTTTTGGTACCAGGAATCAAACTTGGCCTCACGCTTGCCAGGCAGGTGCTGTGCCACTGAGCTACATCCCTGGGCGACTCTACATTTTTAAAGAACCTAGTACGATGATGAAACCAATGAGAAATGGGCAGGATTTTGACAAAGAAAACTATAAAACTATAAACTGAAGACTAAAAAAGAAGACCTGAGTAAATACAGACAAAAACCCTCCCCATGGACAGAGAAGTCCAATAGAATACATAAGGCCAGGTATCACCCAAATTAACCCATCATCTCAGGGTACTCTCAACCAAACTCCTAAGATAATTTGTTTTGGCAGTACCAAAGACAGCACAGGGCCTTCACACTGAGTTATATCCCCAGCCCTTTTTCATTTTCTCTTTCTCTTTTTGAGACAGGTTCTCACTAAGCTGCCCAAGTTGGGCTTGAATTTGTAATCTTCCTGCCTCAGCTTCCTAGGGTGCTGGGATTACAGGCATGCACCACCACATTTGACTCCAAAGATAATTTTTCTTAAAACTTGATAAGCTAATTCACATAGGTGAAAGAGGGTACAAAAAATAGGCAGGACAATTTTGGAAAAAAAAAATGGAACAATGAAGGATCCATATAACTTGTATAAATATAAATCAATAACAAATAATAGAGTATGGTGTTGGTATAGGAATAGAGATTGAATAATTAGAATACATTAGAAGCCAGACACAATCCTGTATATATGTGGGGGTTCATATAGGCTTTGGGTTTTTTGTTTGGTTGTTTTTGTTGTTTTGTTTTGTTTTGTTTTTTTGAGACAGGATCTTGCTATATAGTTCAGCCTAGACTTGAATTCACTATGTAGCCCAGGCTGGCCTCAAACTTGAAGCAATCCTCCTGCCTCAGCCTCTTGAGTGCTGAGATTACAGGTATGTGCCACCATATAGGCTTATAATGGAAACAGTTTAAATGACTGGAGACACTGGGACTGTAGCTCAGTGGTAGAGCAGTTGACTAATATGTGTGGGGCCCTGGGCTGGATCCTTACTATTGCCAAAAGGAAAAAAAAAAGAGTGGAGAAATGAACCATTTAACAATGATGTTGAGACATGCACTTGGGAAAAAATAAATTTAGATCCACTTCTCTCATACTACTTACAGTACTAAGTTCTATATGTATAGGAGACCCAAGCAGACAAAAACCACAAATGAATTAGATAAAACATAGCAATGTGTTTATAACTTTGTATTGGGAAAGCTATCTTTTAAAGGATACAAATGAAAAAGAAAAACCTAACAAAAGACTGATACATTTAGCAATATCAAAATTTAATTATAAAAAAAGTTATAAGGGGGCTGGGGCCTGGGCTGGGGCTCAATGGTCCACCACTTGCCTAGCATGCAGGTCCTCTGTTCCATCCCCAGCACCACCTTTAAATATTTTTTAAATTTTTGGGGCCGGGGATTTAGCTCAGTGGTTCCGCCACCTGCCTTGCAAACGGAAAGACCTGAGTTCGATCCCCAGTACCAAAAAAAAAAGCTTTTTAAAAAAATTTTTTTAAAGATACTATTAAATAAAATTAAAACAGAAGTAACAGATTGGGCCAATATATTTGCAACATATATAGCAAATGACTCAGAATATATACAAACAACTCCTGGAAAATAAAACCCTACCAGATGAAAAGGAAGCAGAAGATTTTTTTAAATAGACTGGAGAAGAAAAAATTTAAAAGAATTTTTGGAAAAGATGCACAGTCTCACTAATCATATGAGAAATGCAGTGAAAATCACAATGAAGTAATACTATTTCTCCCCATAATATTGACAAAAATGGTCACACTTGATATTAAGTGCAGGTGAGGATGTAAGGAAACAAGGAGTGTCACCCATTGGGGATGGAAGAGCCAGTTGTTAAACCATTTTGAGGCCAATTTGACAGGGTTTTATTAAATTTAAATGAATTTAGCTGGGCATGGTGGTGCATACCTATAATGTCAGCCCACCGGAGGCTGAGGCAGGAGGATCAGTGCAAGTGCAAGCCTGGCCTACACAGTGAGTTCAAGGCCAGCCTGAACTACATAGCAAGACCCTACCTCAAAACAAAGAAACAAAGGAATTTACCAGTGGTTCCAGGCTGGGAAGATAGTGATAGCTCCTTTGTTTCAAATCTCCCACTCACCTTTCCCCCCCAAAAAAATTAACAATGAGAGGAAATAAAACTACATATGAATCTCAGGTTATTGAAACAGAGAAATAAGCCAGATCCTAACAACTCTTGCTGCTTGCAGCTACAAGCATGGAGATGCAGAATAAGGGAGAGGAGATTTAAGAGACATCAAGAGAGCCGGACGTGGTGGCACATGCCTGTAATCCCAGCACTCAGGAGACCGAGGCAAGAGATCTGCCTCGAGTTCGAGGCCAGCCTGGGAACTACAAAGCAAGAACCTGTCTCAAAAAAGAAAAAGAAAGAAAAAGAGAGACATCATGAGGCTGGGGACGTGGCTCAGTGTAAAACGGTTTCCTAGTGAGGTCCTGCTTCCATCCCCTTTGGAGACACCATAGTGAAGGAATAGGAGGTAGGAGGTGTAGCTCAGTGGTGGAGTGCTTGCCTAGCATGCCAGAGGCCCTGGGTTCAATCCCCAGCACTGCAAAGAAAAAGGAAGAACAAGTGAAGGGGTTGGTGTGGTGGTGCACACCTGTGAAACCAGAGTTTGGGGGAGGCAGGATCACAAACTTGAACTTGTGAGCCCAGCCCAGACAATTTACCAACTTAACAAGACCCTATCTCAAATTTTTAAAATAAGGGCTAGGGATATAGCTCAGGCCCTGGGTTCAGTCCCCAGTACTGAAAAAAAAAAAAAAAAAAAAGAGGGAGGTAAGAATCCTCCAGAAGCAGATGAGAAATAAGAAAAACCAACTTTCACTGCACTTCCTGACTACCCTTCACAAAGGCAGTAGCTGAACTGACAGCAGAGGGCAGGCTTGACTTGGGAATCTTGTCTCTTGCAGCTTGGATGTCCATGTGTCTAGATGTCCCCTCAACCCCTGTGGGGGTTTTTTATCCAGAGGCTGAATCTAGGGTGTGTGGTGCTGGGATTAAGGGTGTGTGATCACTAAACCACTGCAGTGAGTGAGTGGTTTGGCACCACCGTAATCCCAGTAGTCTGGATGGGATAAAAGGAGCAGAAAGATAATTAAGGCCTTGTTGCCTTTGCTACTTGTGCGACCCAAGTTGTTTCGCTTCTGGGATGCCTGTTTGACATCCTTGCCTTGGAGCCAGCCAATTATGGGCTGAAACCACTACAAACTGTGAGCTAAATAAAACCTTTCCCCTTTTATCTTTGGGTGTCAGGTATTTTGTCTCCACAACAAGAAAAGTAACTAAGACACCATATTTCTTCTGCTCTCCTCTAATGCATCATCACTCGTGGTTCTCTGCCTGGTGGGGGACCCAAACCTTCATTCCTGACAGGTCTGGGCCGTTAGAAACCTGCCTGAACTCTGCCGTCGTAGTTTTCCACTCACTTTAGCCAAGGGCATGGTAATACTGAGCACTTGGAGGAAGCTCTGTATTCTAGCCCCATGGCTCCTTCCCAGCACTGTGTGGGCGCAGTCCCCAGCGATC